ATCCACATCGACGTAGTACCGATGCGAAGCTTGTGCGTGCGTCTACGAAGACTTGACGTGTGTTTCAGGTTGGCCAAAGTAGTATCGCGTACGACCTATGCCTTTGTACCAAGCAACTCTGTGGGCAGTAAAATGATAAGCCAACACCTTCGGCCAATAGACATGACATCGCGTACCTGAAGAGGAACAGGGCAATGACAATTGTTATGTTGCCGTGCGTAAGGCTGTTCCAGAGCAGAGGTGCATACTTCAGGTTTGAAGGGAGGCCGGCCCAACTGGCGGCAATGCTAGAGGAGAGGCAAACGTATTAGGAATAAACCCAACCGCTGAGAGGTCATATGGTGCCAGTGTGTGTGGGCGCTCGTACGTACTGGGTTAACTGCGTGATAGATGTCAGGAGGCGCAGACAGAGAATATCAGTGTTGCAAGATACGAAGAAATCATTGTTAAAATGCATCAGCCCAACCGTGGTCCTTAAGACAGAGAATTCGAGGACTTAGGACTTACATCTGCAATTCCGAGGGCCAAGAAGGCAGCTCCTAGGATACGCTCTTGCGCAACAGGATTGTTGGGCAGTACATCCCTGATTGCGCGGAAGACGAAGGACGATATGAGGCCCAAGAGCAAGTAGCCTGGGGTAAGTGATGGGGACCAATCATTGTGAGCGGGTTCGGAAGGCGAAGGTTTGGTAGAAGCCAAACGCACAGTTAATCAATTGATAAATGGTCATGAGCGTTCGTGGCTCCAGTGGTGTGGATGGAACAGCTTCATCTGACGGTATGAGCTGATGGTAGAACCAGGATGGGCCGGGGAATCCCCACACCATAAGTGCAGGCGCGATGGTTGACACTAGTGTGAACAGATGAAAGATTATTTGATTTCTGAGACAAGGAACAATCAATAAAACATACCAGGTTCCATGTAGAGGAAGAAGATGCGGTAGAAACCCGGCAGAGCAGGGAAGTTGTCTGCAGCCATGGTGGAAAGAGCAAGAGACGCCGTGGGCGACTGGTGTGGGCTGATCCAGAAATAGCACGTCACACTCGGGCCGATATGTCCGGACCGACGAACACCATCCGAGTCGTCGCGGCAACTTTATCGCCACCATGGCAGGCACAGGGAGCAATGGCGCGAGATTAGCTGTCGCCGCCCATGAAAGCCCAGGTTCTTCCGTCTTCGATCTTCCAGTCGTCCCGGTCTCCATGACGGTGAACAGCACGTCGCAGGCTGGCGTTCTAGCCAGCGCAACGACTGAGCCCCACTCCACACGCGACCTGCCTGCAGGAGAACCCTCTTTTCTCGTCATATCAGGAGGAACAGGAGGGAATACATTCTGCTCTGCTTTCCGGAACGCCTGCTATGTACTGCCGGTGTCGGACGACGGTGGGTCGTCGAGCGAAATCATACGTGTCCTCGGTGGTCCTTCTGTCGGTGTGTCGTCTTGTTCTCTTCGTGTCGAGACAAGCCCTTTAACGTGCCTTTAGGTGACATCCGGTCGAGACTCGTTCGTCTTATACCCTCTGCTCCAATTTCGTCGCCCTTAGACGCCATTCGACAATTATTAGCGTACCGCTTGCCTTCCAGGTCCTCAGAGAGAGACGCACGAGAGGAATGGAGAGATATTGTAGAAGGCCGTAGTCTCTTGTGGAAAGGTGTCCCATCGGATCGAAAGGAAACCATTAGAGGTACGTCCATTTCTCTCCCTCATGATCAGCTTATAACGAGATACGCCACAGGCTTCCTCGTATACTTTGAAAGCGAGCTATTGAAACGCGCACATAAGAACTTCAATTTCCGTAATGGCAGGTACCTCTATTTCCTTCGGTTTGAAAACACCAGGCTCATTGAAGTCAGTATTGGAAATTATTTCCTTGCAGCTGCGCAGAACTTTTTCAGATCCTTGCCATCCGCCATCTTCTTGTTTTCCTCAATCACTAATAGCCAGGTAGAGTGCATGCATTCGCGTCTAGACCAGAGCTGACTACATCCTGCAGGCTCATATTCTCCCTGTCATAGTAACCAACCACACAGTCACCATTGCTGCGGAATTGGTATGAAATCGAAGACGATTGTTTCGTACTTTGTGCTCATGTACCCTTAGGAAGACGGACAGAAACTTGTTGGACAGTGTGAGATATCTCATCCTGTAGTGCCAACCGAACTAGCTTTCCAAGTCGGCGAGGAAGAAGAGCCAACGTCGCCGATAGATGGCCTAGGAGAAGTTATCGCGCCTCGTCAAAACGTGATGTTCGAGAGCCTTGCCAAAGGAACGCATGAGCCACTTCCATCTCGTATTAGCAGTGGGTCGCATATGGTGACGTATGCCGAGTGTCTCTGACAACGTCTAGGACTCTACTATATTAATGGATATGGCATGGAGATCCATCCGTCTCCCAACGGCGAATTCCTCTCAAGTTTAGCTTCGAAGGACATCCTGATATACTCCTGCGGGTCTTTATGGACGAGGTATGTTTTATTACATCGGAAGTGTAGGCCCGGGAGTTCATGGTGTTTCCGAAGCATCATTCCATGTTTGGCACTACGAGGGGTGGCAGGAGCCATCGCTCGTTCGTCATCGCTACGTGCCAAAGTTCTGCTACGTATGTTGCTTCGGATCTTATACTTTGTTTGACGGTGGGAACTGACTTTGCTCCAGTGAATACAGAGAATGACCGCGAAACGGAAGGATACACGGCAGTGGACTATATCCAGTCAGTTTCTCCGTGCAAGTTGGTGCTTCCGAATACTGATAGAAAGGCAGATCGATCGTACGTACTTTGAACACGAATTACTCGACCCAGGCATATGGGCTAGGAGGCGCGAATACAACGTATCCTGTGTCAGCCTTCATCACAGACTTGGTTTATCTACGGGGCACCCAAATCGCGATAGACGTCAAGCGAATCACGGTGCGTGTATTCCGCGACAAGATGGGACATGGCGGCTGATGGCGAAATAGATGATGGGTGTGCGATGCCGGGAAGTGTCCGGTGGGCTGCGATTCGATGGGGAGACGGTGAAGAGAGCGATGGAGCAGGTGGCCAGCGACCGATGTAGCTAAATATAGAGATTCCCACGGGAATTAGAGGAATTGTTGCCTCGAGGCCTTTTACACTCTGCTCCATCCTTACTATCACCCCCAGGATCAGATGATGACATGAGTACATCCGCCGAGGCGGGCGAACACCGTTCACAGGCGCGCCTTCTCTTGTCTACTCTCACCATGGGTGATCCACCCCTATGCCCCTCTCCTCCGACCATGCAGCAGCTCGACAGTGGCAAGTCCTTCATTTCGCTCCCTTCTCCGTTGCCAATTCACACCGGTCTGTTTCCAGGCGCTAGCCGGAGAGGCAGTAGCAGCAGCAGCGAGCGCTCTGCACTCTCAATCCTGATGGTCTCTCACGCGAGCCCCACCTCGCAAATCTCTATGCCCCTCGAACCCGAACTCGCTCCGGTCAAGCGCCCGCCGCATCCCCCTGATGTCATAACAAGTAACCCCGGCAATAGCATTTCTCGTTCTCCAGATATGATTCTAAGCAGCGGTACAGACGACAACAGCTTCGACGAGCTCGTCACCCCGCTTTCCGAGGACCCGCCCGAGAGGCCAACGAACAGAGTCCGCTTCCGTTCGCGTGTTCGAATCACCTCGGGCTTCAATCGCCACCGCCACAGACCTGACGCGCAAGACTACCTTTCCCTCACCCCCTCGTCTTCGCTCTCTGGCTCGCCATCGTCCTCCATTTCCGCCCCTCTTCGCTCACACCCCGAGGACGAGGTTGCGAAACCTGGCTGGGGCACGTTGGGTCAACGCGTTTCTCTCCTCGCCCAGGGTGGTCCGCTGCGCAAGAAACAAAGGCGAGAGGCGGAGATGTATGCTAAAAATACTGAACGCGGAATGGTTGTTGCCGCGAATGTGAACGGTCGCTTGAACGAACGAACTCCCCTCCTAAATGCATCAGCAAGTCCTTTATACATCAACGGCGACGTGAATGGCACAGGTAGTAACTCGAGTCTGGATGAGGGAGCAAGCATTTCGCGAGAGGTTGACTTGATCTTCGGACCATGGCCAAATCGACTTTTAAACCATCATGTACGCAGCTGTTCTTCTCTTTCGTAATGCATAAACTAACATCCTATTCATTTAGTGGTGGTGGTGGCATGTCGAACCCGTCGTGTGCTGCCGTTGCTTGTCTGATTCTGACGACGAAGGATAGGTCGTCACATTGCAACCGGATATTGCTTCGTATTGGCTACCTTCCATCAGACATTCACCCTTGTATTTCCTCTGTTTATACACTTTACATAACTTATTGCGCTATCCGATCCTTCTTCTGTATGTAATTGTGATGCCTTTTGGAATCAAAATCTGTGCAATCTGTAGGGTGGTGTCCTGAATCCATGATGCCCTGCTCAATATCCCTACTTCGGAATCACCATGGTGGGAGGCAACGTTGTAATAGGAGGAAGGAGGCTGGCGGCGGTCTTCCTTGCGTTTTGAATGAGGAGTTCGTCCATGATAACCATTGCAGCCATCGCCTCAACAATAGGAACTGCTCGAGGGACGACGCAGGGATCATGACGGCCCCTGGTGGCCAAGGAACCCGGCGTACCGTCGTAACGGGCGGTATCCTGAGGCTGGGAGATCGTGGCTGGCGATTTGAATCCGATTCTAGACCTCTGTTTAGTAGGCCGTTGATTAAACCACTTAGAGACCATACCTGAAGTAAATGTGCTCCCCATTGGTGATTCCACCTTGGATACCTCCACTCCAGTTGGTGGCAGTCCTCAGTCGACCATTTTCACCACGAATGAAAGCATCATTGTGTTGACTTCCCGGTACTTCGGTCCCCCGGAAGCCAGACCCAACTTCAAACGCCTTCGTAGCCGGAATCGAAAGCATAGCATGCGCGAGCTTGGCCTCAAATTTATCGAAGACGGGTTCACCGAGTCCAGAAGGTACATTGCGGATAACGCAGGTGACGGTTCCACCAATGGAATCTTGCGTCTCTTTCGCTCTCAAAATTCGCTTAAACGAGAGATAAATCAGGTTAGATGGATATATGCGTCTTAGAACGCGATACATACCTTCGTCATCCTCTCTGCAGTTTCTGGGTGAGGGCACCTGGTGGGATGCTTATCGACATCTTCTCTGGTGATTGTTGACAGTAACTCGAGGTACTCTTTCGACAAGGTGTCAGTCGCGCTGTCGTCCTCTTCATCGGCATTAATCCGGGGAGGTGGCGGGGCGGTGGCTGACAGATGCACTTTGCCCACAGAGCTGACGAACGCGACGATTTCGATTCCATAGGCTATTTTGAGGTACTTTTCAGCCAGAGCACCCGCAGCAACACGTCCTAACGGTATTGTTAGCTCGTAATTGCATTTCAACGAAGATGAGACGAACCTATGGTCTCCCGTGCACTGCTTCGGCCTCCTCCACTACTCGCCTTGATGCCGTATTTCTCGAGATACGTGTAGTCGGCATGACTGGGGCGAGGATAGAGATCGGTTTCGGTGTAGTCGTGGGGTCGCTGGTCCTCATTCTTCACCAGGACGGCGATAGGTGTTCCAAGTGTGACGCCCATCTCCAACCCAGATTGGATGTGGACGAGATCTTTCTCGTTTCTCTAACACGAAGAGAAGACGGTTAATATGGGCGCATATATGCGACATAGACGCGTACGGGGGTTGTGAGATTACTCTGGCCCGGCCGACGGCGACTGAGTTGCGTCTGGAGGTCTTGAGGAGTCAGTTCCAAGCCCTACAATAATATTTCAGGATCGCCCAGCGCAATCGGGAAAGTAGGGCGTACTGGAGGACATCCGTCGATAATTGCACCGACTGAGGCGCAATGACTCTCGCCATAGGTCGTAACTCGATAGAGGGTGCCGAAGGTGGACATGTTTGACGCGGGCTAATTGCACAAGGCGAGATTTTGTTTTTCGTTCTGCAATAGTTGATAACAAGGTCAACGATGAATCGCTCGAGCTAAAAATGCTGCTTACCAGGTCGATGTAAAGGACAGCGAGAGGGTAGAGGCGGGCAAGTCAGAGAAAAGTTGGGCCGATTTCGGATTTAAATATCCAAACGGGGTCTGGACTCCGCTTTGGGCAGCTTCCGCTTTCACCGTCCTCGATCTCGACCAAGCCAGCCGTCTGCCACTTTCACCTCAACTTCCACCCAACTCTTCATGTCAGCCTCCGCTGCGCCAGCAAATACCTCACGGTCGCGGACCCAGGCGCGAAAAAAGGTCAACGATGACGCCTCCTACTTTGGTCCACCGTCCACCAATGGCCCATCGGGCACGAAGAGACAGGCGGCAGACAAGGCCGACAGTGAACCACGAGTGAAGAGAAAAAGAGTAGAGCAAACCCATACCCCCGTCACAGCCCCTGTAAAGAAGGACGTCGTTGAGAACGATCCGCGAAAGTCCCTGGTGCGTTGCCTCGATTCCCACTCTCCGGCCGCGAAGTGAATGTGTCCCCTGCATCCTCCTCCTAGGTCGACTTCCACAAACTGTCGATAGCCACACTTCACCGCTACATGATCCAGTTCGACATCATTCCTGGTGTCTACCCTTCTCCTCTATCCCCGGAAGACCCCCCTGCACCCCCAACCCTCTGCGACCCCCAGCGCCAACCATCTCGCGGACCCAGTCCCCCAGCTTTAACGCCCGCGAATAGGCCACGACGTGACCCGAAAGAGGCGCAGAACCGCCGAAGAAGTTCGCGTCTCGTCGAAGAGGAACCCAGATCACGCACACCCATCCTCGCCGACGTTGTTGAACTGCACAGCGTGCTCGCCACAATCGTTGAACGACATTTTAGGGAGGTGAACTCGATTAATAACAGAGAGGTTGATATTCTTGCTGCCTTCATGTGCGCGGTGGGGAAGTCGAAGGATAAAGGCAAGACAGTATAGCAAGTGCAGGTCGGCGGGGCGGTCCGATCATATCAGAAAGATTCATGTATCAGGTGCACTCGAGCAAGATTTCATTGGTTTCCTGGGTGCAGAGTTTTGAAGTTTTGAAGAACCGGTCTGGCGGGTTTTATCAAATCGTCGCAGTGGCATTGCAGTTGGAATAAAGCTCTGGTGGGATGAGGGATAGAGATTGCGGACCAATAGGTGGAGAGGCGTCATCATGGTAAGTAAGGGCGCCGACAGTCAGAACCCGAGGATCAGCTCTCCTGTAGACGTGATGCCACTGTGCATCCCGCAGATAGTTTCTGAGCGAATGGGATTACAGCACTGAATAGAATCAATTCAAGACGCACGCTCGTACCTTGAGGCTCAGGTTGCAACGTCAACGTCTCTACTGATGCGAACGCCTTCGGTTGGTTTCCAACAAATTATTACCCCAGCCTCCATCACGAACATGATACGTGTAGGGATTAGGAAGACAGTCATACCTAGTGCTGGCCCTTTCCCATTGGCGTGAACAGTGAGCGGTATGCGCTGCTCGGGCGGTCATGTGACCCCGTATTTGCCTCACATGCCGGGTTTATCATCGTGATGAGGACTGTGATGGTCTTGGCACTGAGAGGTGAGTGTTCTGAACCCAGTCCTCTGGTTCTTGCGTTGCTGCATGCCTATAGGTTCCCTCACATCATTATGGTGATGGGGGTGAAGATTTGCTTCTCATTGGCTGCTCCACCGCAGGTTCGCCCTTTCTGGTGACCGGCCCTTATGCATTGGAACAGACCTGTTGAGTTTCCGTGGAAACAGCCCGAGCATGCCTAACGATGGTCCCTATAAAACCCATGGGTTCATCACCACCCTCCTTCTTCAGTTTCTACTCCCCCTTTCGTTCGTGTCGTCGTTTTTCGCAGCCGTGCTGCTTGGTCCCCCCTCGTTGTGAGTCGTCGTCCATACTTTGCCTCATAGTCGGCTTATCCACTCTAGTCCGTTGTAGCCCCTTGTTGGCGTATCCCTCACATTCATTCTTTCGACTTCCGCGAAGTCATCTTTCGACTATTTCATCATGAGGTTCTCCAGTGTTCTTTCGGCCGCTCTCGTGGTGTTGCCCGCTCTGAGCGGCACGTCCGCCGGCTTGGTACCCCGCCAAAACCAGCGAGGCCGAGGAGGCAACAACAACAATGGCAATAACGGCAATAATGGCAACAACAACGGCGGCAACAACAACGGTGGAAACAACAATGCTGGTGGCGACCTGCAAGCCTCTCTGAGTGAGTTTTTCTCAATATTTAGCCTAGTACCAAGTGACGACGGTCTTTTAGCTCTTGATCCCAGAGTCATTGCCCCCGGATTTGCGAATGACGGCCAGGATGTACCCGCAGACGGTGGGATCTTCGTATTTTTTTTAAAAATTGTCGTCCTAACGTGTCGATATCTATTTAGGTCAAGTTGCTTCGTTGACCTCGACGAACAACTTCATCAACTTCTGCCTCACGGTACCCAACTTGCCCCTCACCAACGGGCAGCAGCTACAGCAAGGTTCATGTAACCCCGCTCCCATTGGTGTCATCCCGACCGTAGATCGTATGCCTTCTGGGAAGTTCACAAACCCGAAGAACGGCGATACCATCGCTCCCAACACTGATTTCACCATCAGCATGGCCATCAGGAACCTGGCCACGGGTTTCTTCGTCAATGCTCAAGCCAATTACTTTGCCGCCCCTCAGGTTTTGAACGGCGCTGGTATCATCCAGGGTCACTCTCACGTCGTTGTAGAGCGTCTGCAGTCCCTTGACCAGACAACGCCGACAAACCCCCGTGAATTCGTCTTCTTCAAGGTAATACTTTTCGCATTAATCGTCCACCACTTTCTGATCCGATATGCCAGGGTTTGAACGAGGCTGCCCAGGGTGGCGTGCTTACCGCGGCCGTTGCTGGAGGTGTCCCTGCCGGTGCTTACCGTCTCTGCTCAATCAACTCTTCTTCGAACCATCAACCCGTCATTGTGCCCGTTGCCCAACACGGTTCGCTCGATGATTGCGTCTACGTGAGTCTCCGTTATCTTGCGCCCCGTTTTCGCAGATTACTAACGTCGACAACAGTTCACCGCAGGCAATGCCAACGCTGGTAATAACAACGAGGCGAACCAGGGCAATAACAATGCTGGAGCCAACCAAGGAGCCAACCAAGGAGCCAACCAAGGAGCCAACCAGGGCGCTAACCAAGGAGCCAACCAGGGAGCCAACCAAGGAGCCAACCAGGGAGCCAACCAAGGAGCCAACCAGGGTGCCAACCAAGGTGCTAACCAGGGTGCCAACCAAGGTGCTAACCAGGGTGCTAACCAAGGTGGCAATGGAGGTGGCAGGGGTAACAACGGTGGACGTGGCGGCGTACGTTTTGCCTTTCCGACATTTGTTCTTCCGCTGACATTTTTTTCAACTCTAGTTCGGCGGCGGCTTCGGTCGCGGCGGGAACAACGGCGGTCGCGGTGGTTTCCGTGGTGGCCGTGGTGGCAGATAAATAATGAAGCTCAGCCAATTTTGAGTGGGACGTTAATTCGCACTCTATTTATCTAGACACCAAACGCCAGTCGTTTTCACGCATGACCCTGTAAATTTCGTTCATCGTTCGGCGCCCATTGTATACCACTGCATGTATTCATCTAGTACCGTCCATTAGCCAAGAGCTGGCAGGCCTAATACTTCGACTCAGATACCCTTCCTCTTCACTTAAGAGTGGTGAACTCCTGAGAGACAATCACTTATCCGACAACTCGCACAGCGAGAATATTTGCGGTCCGTCCGCTCCGGATTCCGGCAGATGGCTTAGCCATCTCACTGGCTTCGTTTCGACAAGTTGGATTGGACCAACCACACTCTCTTGAACGCAGCATGTCCTCTGAAGACATCGCGGAAGAAATACGAACCAGCTTCCCTGGTACAGAGGAAGTGATCGTGCAGTACTTGGCTGGCTATCTGGTCGATGATGCTGGTGAAGAGGAGGATGTCCTTCAGATTGCACACGAAATTCTCAAATCCGTGGCGGGCGACCGTGACGATGTGCTAGAAAAGCTCATGGTCAGACTCGGGGACATTCTAGAAGATCAGCTCAATGCTCGCCTGAAGAATAAATCGCGTCCGAAGCTGCAGAAACTCGACAAGGTCATGGACTTGAGCAAATCCCAGATTTCGAACACCATCGCGTTGGGAGAAGGCGTGGATTTGGAGTCCATCAACAAGGGAAAGTGCGTTACAGGACCGTGTCTGGTAAATGCATTATTTACTGACTCTGTTGCCAGAGCTTCACGAGTCGATGTAAAGAAACTCGAGAAACAAGAAGCGAAATTGAAGGTCTGTCTAGAATATCGCCAGGAAACTCTGGGCTGTTGACAATGTCCCACAGGCAAAGATAGAGAAACGATCGCGAAGGGATCTGTACGAGGGCTCCAAGTTGCTCGATGCTCATCGAAGACAGGTACGACCACTTTGTTTGTCCATCCAGGATTCGAACTGACACCTCCTTCAACAGCAAACGTACGAGGAGATGTTCATGAAAGTGGGTGACTCTGCTACGGTGTCGGGTCGTCATTCATTATTTTCAAGATCAATCCACTCGAAGCAAGCGCTGCTTCGAAGAACAAGAGCAAAGACATTCACCTTCCTTCCATCGACGTCAACTTTGGCTCGAATCGCATTCTGTATGTTTTGTCCATTCAAAGCCTCTGAATCACTAGAGCGATGAACAGGTCTGGTGCTACTCTCACTCTGGCACACGGCCGTCGATATGGCCTAATTGGCCGCAACGGTACGTGTGGTCTTCTTTCAGTGCAGCCATCCCGTTTAACAGCCTTTGCTCAGGTGTTGGAAAATCTACGCTTCTCCGGCAGATAGCCATGAGAGAACTTCCCATCCCAGCTCATATCACCATCCTTTTCGTTGAACAGGAAGTCGTCGGGGACGATACAAGTGCCATCGACTCTGTCTTGAAGGCCGACGTGTGGCGTGATCACCTCATGAAGGAGCAAGCGCTTCTGGATTCGCAACTGGCAGAATTGGAATCGGAAGGTGACGACAAGCGGTTTGAGGATGCCCGAGAAGACTTGTCCTCGAGATTGGCCGAAGTACATGCTCGCCTTTCGGAAATGGATGCGGAAAGTGGGCCGTCGCGTGCAGCTGCATTGCTCGCAGGTATGTTGCCACCTCCTAGGCCTTGATCCTCTGGTTTACATACTACTTGTAGGTCTTGGGTTCGATGAATCAGACCAACAAAAACCTACGAAGTCATTCAGTGGTGGATGGAGGTATGAAATTGTTTGACGGCCTCTTTTGCGGGATTGACCAAACCAAAGGATGCGGTTGGCTCTGGCTCGCGCCCTGTTCGTGAAGGTTTGTCGATGTCATGAGCATCCAGGACATAATAATTTCCCTCGATTGTAGCCTGCCCTTTTGTTACTGGACGAACCGTCCAATCACAGTGAGTTTATCTTTTCGCATGCTCCCGTCAGGATTCATGGGAATGACATACGGCTTGTTAACTTTGCGTGATAGTCGATCTAAATGCATTGGCGTGGCTGGAAGACTACCTACAAACTTGGCCCGGTACCCTCCTTGTTGTGTGAGTCGTAGTCGAGTTCCTCAAATTGACGGGTATTCAAATGGGTGTCTGTACTCCAGGTCTCATGATCGTGCATTTTTGTTAGTCCACATTCTTCCAAGACGCTCGTCTGGTCTTAATCCTAGCACAGAGATGCTGTGGCGACGGACATAGTGCATCAGCACTCAGGACGACTCGATTACTACAAGGGGTATGTGGTACCCGTTCTCGTAATCAAAGCAGATTTCCTGAAAGGCGATACAGGAACTTTACGCAGTTCTACTCTACCAAGTCTGAACGAGATAAAAATATGAAGAAAGAATACGAAACTCAAATGGAATATCGGAAACATCTACAGGCCTTTATCGACCGATGGAGATACAACGCTAACCGCGGTGCGTTGGTTTCGCCTCAATCAGTCATGTAAGGATTGACATGGGTATCCGGTTTCCAGCCGCCCAAGCGCAAATGAAGATCAAGATTCTAGAAAAGGTGCTCCACTCGTTGCTTTTGGTGATTCAGACGAGCTTACTCCACCCAGTTGCCTGATCTTCAACCTCCTGAGGAAGCAGAAACGGAGCAATTTAGGTTTGCCTTTGATATGATCTTCCGTGATGCTTATACTGATAAGATTGAAAGATTCCCCGAAACAGAGAAAATTTCTCCGCCGCTGTTGCAGATGAACGACATCACTTTCGGATACACGCCAGACAAGATTCTGCTGAAAGGCGTCAACTTTGATGTTGGTCTTGACTCGAGAATTGCTATGGTGGGCGCCAACGGCGCTGGAAAGTCAACTGTGTATGAATTTCAATGTGTCTTCTATCTTCTGACATTGACCAAATATCTAGAATTAAACTGCTTACTGGGGAGCTTACTCCTCTCTCTGGCCATGTTACCCGTAATGGTCGCCTACGAGTGTATGTTGTCCGCTAATGTTTGTCACGATGGCTCATCAATATCTGCAGTGGTTACTTTGCTCAGCATCACGTCGACACTCTCATACCTACAATGAGTCCCGTTCAATTCCTTGCGTCAAGGTTTCCTGGGAGGAGTGAGCAAGAATACCGTTCACACCTCGGAAACTTCCAAATCAGTGGCATGACTGGGCAAGTCTTCATATTCATAGGGTAGCATCAACGGAACAGCGCTCACGCTTTTGCTGCACCAGGCTTCAATCTATTGGTACGCTGAGTGGAGGTCAAAAGTCTCGCGTTGCGTTTGCATTGTTGTCACTACAAAAGCCACATGTTTTACTCCTCGACGAGGTGAGTAGCCACCCCAATTTCCAGGTGCCAAATGCTGACTTCTGATTAACAGCCTACGAATCATCTTGATATCGAGGCATGTGACACCTACAGTTTCCCTCAGACTCGTTTCGTCTCCAACTCTAACATTATGCTACCAACAGGGTCTTGACGCACTGATGCTGGCCCTACAAAAGTGGAATGGGGGCGTCATCATTATTTCGCACGACGAGCGATTCATCACCACAGTTGCCAAAGAGGTGAAATGTAATTCCATTTCTTCAATCGACTTCTGTCTAAATGAAATATGTGGCTGTTAGCTATGGGTTTGTGGAGATGGAACTGTGAAGGGCTTCAAGGGAGATGTGCAGAGTTACAAGGTAAGAGCCTTCTTTTATGTCTGGAATTCTCAATTTCTTATCGACCATCAGAGCCTCATTGTCAGCAACATAAAAATGAAGCCATAGTGCTGAATACTACTCGTACATTCTCCTATGTTGCCCTGTACCATATCTCGCAGAGAAATGTAATGTGGAGGAGCGCTGGTTTTGGTTGACCCCCTATTTACCTAATGCATCCGAATGGCTGTGACATCAACTGTTTGGGCCACGCCGATTGTGCCTGTAAACAACGCGTCGCAGTCACGCGTTGTCAACAAATCTCAACTTAATTCTGACCTGAACGTCAACCAACGCGTTTTATCAACGAGACACGACAAATCGACCTACTACGACATGAGCTCGTCAGAAGGCGAGAATTTCGACATGGATGTGTCTGGTTCGGAGTCTGAAGACTACGCACCAGTGAAGAAGGTAGGCTTTCCCAACAATGGTGGATCCATTGCCTGACGTTCGATCGACAGACTACCGCGAAGAAAGCTGCGACGAAGGCTGCGCCTAAACCGAAGGCAGTTGCTGCGAAGCCGAAAGCGAAAGTGGCACCCAAGAAGAAAGTTTTGGTCGATCACGACGACAATGCCAACAGCGGAATGGATGTGGACGAAGACGACGAAGTATCGGACGACCCCAATCCCAAGGCTTCTACCAGCCGACCGGAAACTGGCAATAAGAAGAAGAAATCCGCTTCAGAGACGTATACAAAGGTCACTCCGGTCTTTCTGACCGTGTTCCCTGTATTGAAAGCTTTGCCTAGTTGTCTCAACTAGAGCACATCTTGAAGAGGCCCGACTCCTACATAGGAAGCGTAGAAACCATCACACAAGCTATCTGGACCTATGACGCAGAGATGAAACGCATGGTTCATCGTGATGTCAAATATGTGCCAGGTTTCTTCAAGATTGTGGACGAAATTTTGGTCAATGCGGCGGATAATAAGGCACGTCCCTTCCTACCTTTATCGTTACTACGTGTCTAATCTATGATAGATCAACGATCCCAGCATGGACACTCTCAAAGTCACTATCGATGTCGAGAACAGCACTATCTCGGTGTACAACAATGGGCGAGGCATCCCCATCGAGATCCATTCTCAAGAGAAGATCTATATTCCAGAGTTGATTTTCGGTCACCTCCTTTCTTCCTCGAACTACGACGATGACGAGAAGAAACTTACCGGAGGCCGTAATGGCTACGGCGCGAAACTCGCAAACATCTATTCTCATGAATTCACCGTCGAGACTGCAGACAAGAACACACAGCAGAAGTACAAACAAACCTGGACCAACAACATGAGCACATGCGGCAAGCCAAAGATAACGAAGAATACAAAGGGCGAAGAGTACACTTGCGTTACCTTCAAACCGGATTTGAAGCGCTTTGGTATGGAGTCGATCGACGAGGACACTGCAAGCCTTTTGCGGAAGCGAGTATACGACATGGCTGGAACGGTTAAGGATATCAAGGTCTTCCTGAACGGCGAACGTCTGAAGATCAAGAATTTCAAGCAGTACGTGGAAATGTACATCAATTCAGCACAAGCCGTGGCTGCAGAGAATTCTGGTGGTGCCGCTCAAGCCAAACCAATGGTCATCCACGAAATCATCAGCCCACGATGGGAAGTGGCATTCGCTGTTTCTGACGGCACTCCCCAACAAGTCTCCTTCGCCAATTCTATTTCCACGATCAAAGGAGGAACTCATGTTACCTACATCGCCGATCAAATTTCGAAGACCTTGGTGACCGCCATCCAGAAGAAGAACAAGGCTGCTGCTGTCAAGCCTGCTCAAATCAAGAGTCATATGTGGATATTCGTCAATGCCTTGATTGAGAACCCCACATTTGACAGTCAGACGAAGGAGACTTTGACCCTACCGGCGTCCAAGTTCGGCAGTAAGCCAACTTTGTCGGAGGATTTCTTCAAGAAAGGTAAAGCAGGCCGTCGCTTTTCGTGCATGACATGTACTGATTCTCTGTAGTTCTCAAATCGGCCATAGTTGACAACATTTTGAACTGGGCAAAGTTCAAGGCTGACCAGCAGATCAAGAAGACGGACGGAGCCAAACGAAATAGGTATGATCTTAATGACAGCACTTTGAATGTAGATATCTGACCTTTTGACAGGCTTCTGGGTTTGACCAAGCTTTCTGATGCCAATAATGCTGGGACGAAGCACGGTCAAGACTGTACCCTCATCCTCACGGAAGGAGACTCTGCCAAAGCCCTGGCCGTTGCCGGCCTTGGTGTTGTCGGCAGAGATAACTTCGGTGTCTTCCCTCTTCGCGGTAAAATCCTCAATGTGCGCGAGGCGAGACATGACCAGATCATGAAGAACGAGGAAATTCAGAACATCAAGAAAATCATGGGCTTGCAGCATAACAAAGACTATTCGAATACCGTCACTCTGCGCTATGGAAGACTTATGATCATGACGGATCAGGACCACGATGGTTCTCACATTAAAGGACTGCTTATCAACTTCCTCGACCACTTCTATCCGTCTTTGTTGAAGCTGCCCGATTTTTTGGTCGAGTTCGTCACGCCCATCGTTCGCGTAAATAGTCTGTTTGGTTTTGTCGAAACTAGGCTGACTGGTCGGATAGGTCACGAAAGGAAAGCAGCGTAAAGACTTCTTCACTATCCCTGAGTACGAACAATGGATGGAACAGACGCCGGACGCGAACAAATGGGAATCAAAGTACTTCAAGGTCTGCACTTCACTTCCCACTAGAGCTACATGGTTTCTGACTTTCTGACCACAGGGTCTGGGAACAAGCAGCGACGCAGACGCTCGAGATTATTTTGCCCACATGGAGAAGCACATGATCCCGTTCGCGCCAACACAAGAAGGCGACCGCGAACTCATCGACCTTGCGTTCAGCAAGAAGAAAGCCGATGACCGAAAGGAATGGCTGCGCCAGTTCAAGCCCGGTACCTACCTCGACCATCGACTCGAAGAAATTCCGTTCTCGGAATTCATCAACAAGGAGCTCATCCTGTTCTCCATGGCGGACAACATCCGTTCGATACCCTCCGTGGCAGACGGCCTGAAGCCAGGCCAGAGGAAGGTCATTTGGGGTTGTTTCAAGCGGAAGATGAAGACTGAGGTCAAGGTCGCCCAGCTGGTGGGTTACATCGGCGAGCACGCGGCGTACCACCACGGCGAGCAAAGTTTAGCGACGACGATTATCAACTTGGCGCAGGATTTCGTGGGCAGCAATAACGTGAACCTGCTGAAACCGTCTGGTCAGTACGGTACGCGTGACACGGGTGGTAAGGACCACGCCGCGCCGCGTTATATCTTCACGCAGCCCATGCCTCTTGCGCGTATCGTGTACAACCCCGCGGATGACATGTTGCTCAACCAGCAGCGCGACGATAACATGCCCATTGAGCCGGAATTTTACATGCCCATCGTCCCGCTCGTGCTCATCAACGGTGCTGAGGGTATCGGTACAGGTACGTGCACGTCCTTCGTTACATTCCCACAAATCAACTAAGCGTTTTATAAACCATAGGTTGGAGCACGAGCATCCCCTGTTACAACCCAACCGACATCGTCGCCAACATCCGGCGACTGATGAACGACGAGGAGATGGTGCCGATGACACCGTGGTGGCGCGGGTTCAAGGGCGAGATCAAGCTCTCGGCGAAGAACAAGTACGACTGCTTCGGAGTCGTGAAGAAGCTCAACGACACGACCGTCGAGATCACGGAGCTGCCAGTGCATAAATGGACGCAGAACTTCAAGGCTGAGCTGGAGGCGATGATTCTGGGGGATAAGGAGAAGAATAAGGAGGGTGTTATCAAGGTATTCAAGACCAATGTGTCTCTGTGTGCGAGGCCTCCTAACATTTTTTAAAAGGATTACAAAGAGCACCACGACAACTTGAACGTGCACTTCGTCGTCACGATGAACGCAAAGGACCTAGAGAAGGCAGAGGAGCAGGGACTGATGGAGTTCTTCAAGCTGTCGTCGAAGATCAACACGAGTAACATGATCTGCTTCGACTTTGAGGGCAAGATCAAGAAGTACGACACTCCTGAAGAGATTCTGGAGGACTTTTATCCCGTGCGGCTGGCGTACTACCAGAAACGCAAGGTTCGTTGGGTCGTTGTGATTCTCAGTTTCTGGCTGACAAGGACACGTAGGACTACCTCGCCAACGAGATCCAAACCGCCTTCGAGAAACTCACGAACCAAGCACGCTTCGTGCAGATGATCATTGACAAGCAGCTCGTCGTCTCTAATCGGAAGAAGATCGACATCGTCGCGGACCTGCGCAAGCACAAGTTCCGACCATTCCCCAAGGCCAAGGGCAAACCCCCTGGGGAGACGGAGCCTGCAGCGGAAGACGAAGACGAGGAAGAGGAGACGGGCGCTAATGAGAGCGGTGCCGATTTTGATTATTTGTTGGGTATGGCTATCTGGAGTCTGACGAAAGAGAAGATCGAAAAGCTGCGCACTCAGGCGGCGGAGAAGGAGGTTGAACTGCTGGCGTTGCTGGAAAAGTCGCCGAAGGACTTGTGGAATACTGACCTGGATCATTTCTTGCAAGAGTGGGAGGTGAGTGTTCTCGATATGAAAGTTAAGGAGGTCTTATGTATTGGTGTGTACAGCGCGACTGCATCGAGTTCGAGGAGAAGAAGGGCAAAGACGCGAAAGGCAAGAAGGTGAAGAGGAAGCAGGCAGTTCTGCGGACCCGTAAATCGATTGGCACGCGGCGGGACTCGGACGACGATGACGACTTCAAGCCCATCAAGGCGCCTGCGGCTAAGCGGAAGCCTGCTACAGCGCCTGAGTCGAAGAAAGCCGTTGCTGGACCGTCGAAGGTGAAGGAAGAGGTGAAGAAGGAAGACGAGGTGCCCAAACGCGCAGCGGCTGGGAAGAAGCCGCAGTATATCGCGAGTGATGACGATGACGAGTACGGTGATTTGCCTGCCCCACCTTCCAAGGCAAAAGAGGCGCCGAAGAAGGCGGCAGGGCCGTCTAAACAGGCGGACGAAGCGCCCAAGCGGCCGGGGGCCAAGAAGAAGGCGATTGATCTTACGGACAGTGACGAGGACGAATACGATGAACCGCCTCCTTCCAAGCCGAAGGCAAGGAAGGCAGGGAAGCCCAAGTCGGAATCGGATTCGGATGTCGAGATTGTGCAGAAGGCAGCAGCGCCTAAACGCAAAGCAGCTGCCAAGGCTATCAAGGTAGACTCTGAGTCGGAGATTGAAGAGTACGAGGTGCCGTCTAATTCGAAAGGCAAAGGGAAAGCACCGGCTAAGCGGAAAAGGTGAGGAGATGAAACATTTGTGGTGTGGCGCGTTTGGAATGCTGACATGACTGCGAAAGCCTTGGATCGTCGGAAGTGTCGTCGGAAGACGAGCTGGCAGTGTCGAAGCCGGCGAAGAAGACGAAGACGACGGATGGTGAGAAGAAACCGGTAGTAAAACGCCTCGCGAAAGCAATGAAGCCTGCGTCGCCGCCGAAGCCGAAGAAGGGGCCTGCGAAGAAAGTGGTAGAGAGTGACGAGGACGAGATAGACTACGACGAGGTGCCGCGTGCGCCTGCACCCAGCCGGGCAGCGAGGGCGCCTGCGCGCAAGTATGTCGAGATTGAGAGCTCGGGGTCTGAGGACGGGTCTATGTTTGTTGACGAGTAAAGTAGAGTAGAGCGAGTCTGGGCCCTAATGACGTCATTATGCTGGATGTGATAAGTAAGAGCGGGACAGCGAGAGTTGTGTCTGTCCACTATGGACTTTTTCAGCGCTGTTGCTGACCCCGCCACAGAGGCTGTCTCCCTCCCACACGACCCCCCGCCCAATGTCGACACCTTTGCCCAGGCAATTGCTGACCGCTTCGGCTCCGCTGCCATCCTCACGGCCCGCCTCACCCCGACCACTTCCCTCCCCCCGCCACCCAGCATGACCCTCTCCCGCCGCCCGCCCGCCGCGTCCCCGGCCGTCGCATCCTCCTCTGCCACCTCTCTCGCCCTCACCGCCGTGTCGCCGGCCGACCTCGACTCGTGGATCGCCAACAACTCGGCCCTCATCATCGACATCCGCCCCCACGGCGCACACTCCTCCGCCCGTGTCCCCCGCGCCGTGTCCCTCTCCGTCCCCTCCACCCTCCTCAAGCGCCCCAACTTTCCCCTCCAGCGCCTCGCAGACATGATTGGCTCCCCCACAAACCGCAACCACTTCTCCGCATGGCGCTCCGCCTCCCGCATCCTCGTCTACGACGCAGACTCTCTGACCGTTGGCGATTCCTCCAACGTGGCGGGCCTGCTACGCAAGTTCAGCGTGTCAGGTTTCCAAGGCGAGCTTGCGTGGATTAGTGGCGGTTTCCAGGCTGTCTGGAGGGAACGTCGCGAGATCGTTGATACACAGCAACCTGGCTCAGAGAACGACGATGAAGACGACGAGCCCGACAAACACCCCCCATCCAATGTCCTGCGCACACGCCATCTCCCCAGAGCCGCGTTCTCCCTCTCATCCACCACCGTCCACAACTCGCCCCATTTCAACCCACCTGCGGCAGCACCTCCGTCCAAACGTCCACCCACCCTCCAAACTAGGCTACCCTCAAGCACTGCCACAAACACCTCCCATCCTGCCTTCAATCCCTTTTTCGACACCGTCCGCCAGAACCACGAGCTTTCCCATGGCATTACTGAGCGTATTCCTCTCCAACTTCCTCGCAGAGTCCGTCGCAGGATGCAGGACCTCCCTTTCCCCTGGCTTCAACAGATCGCCCGTCGCGCCTCAAAAGCTCCTCCACGCCACAAGACTCTTAGCGATTCTAGCTCATCCGAGTCCGAAGACGATGATGCTTCCTCTGTTCTTGTCGAGGAGGGTAAGGAGGCCCTTGCCATGCAGTTCTTCAAAGTAGAGCTCGCCGAGCAGCGTCGCCTCATGGGCATCATGGAGCACCACTCCAAGGAGACCACCCACCAAAACGGTGTTTGTGAATTCCCCGTTCCCTTTCCCTATAGCATAACGGCCGGCGTAGAAAAGGGTGCCAAGAACAGGTCAGTCTCCACCCCACGCTTGCCAACCCACACTGATTGTCCGCTCTGTGATGTAGATATCGGCACATCTGGCCGTTCGAGCATGCCCGTGTACGACTCCACCAAAAGAAGCACCACGACGATGATTATGTCAACGCGTCCTATGTTCAGCCCTTGGGCACCAATAGGCGTTACATCGCCACGCAAGGTCCCCTTCCTGCGACGTTCACGGATTTCTGGACGTGAGTTTCCCTGCCCAGTGGTTCTTTTCTGTCTCTAAACCACGCGTCTTCCATAACAGACTGTGCTGGGAACAAAATGTCCATGTCATCGTCATGTTGACGCGGGAAGTGGAAGGCGCGATGGTAAAATGTGGCGCTTACTGGACGGATACCGTATTTGGACCTCTCCGCCTCCGCCTGATCTCCACAGAAGGCTTGGCACCCCCGGATGAGCGACCCATAACGGCAGGCTTCTTTCCGTCGCATTCTTCCTCGCTTTCCGTCCATCCGTCACGAGCATCGACGCGCCGCTTCCCGCTCTCAGCTGGCTCGGAGCGACCTTACCGTCACCACTATAGGACAAATCGCTCCGAAACCGTCAAACGGACCTTTGAGCTTTCGCATACAGGGTACCCAGACGCCAAGCCCCGACAAATCATTCACCTGCAGTACCTCGAGTGGCCTGATATGAACGTCCCGGACGATCCCAGAGGTGTCTTGGGGCTGATCAAGCAGGTCGAAGAAGCCGCCCGCGACACCCAGTCTGTCCAGTCCACGGAGCCACGGAAGAGGCGGCCAGAAAAGGAACGTCTGGACGAAGTCGATGAAAAGACGGGGATAGCGAAGCATGCCTTGGCAAACAGCCCGGTTCTGCTCCACTGCAGCGCAGGTGTGGGAAGAACGGGAGGCTTCATCGCCGTGGATGCCATCCTGGACGCTATTCGGCGCGAAGTGCGGGCGAATCTCAACGCAGCCTCTCCTAGGAAAGCCAGCGACGCGATGGATGTCGATCCTTTCGATGCTAACCAGCCATCCGTGGTGACAGTGCCTATCACGATATCCGCCGGGGGCTCAAAGGACTCACCACTCGAATTCGCAGATAAGCAGGATGGGCTGGTCGTCCATGTTCCCCTAGGTTCTCCCATGCAGGTCGACGGGAGAACAAACAACACGGACAACTCGGGCACCACTACCAGCTTCACCACCGTGACTGGGACGATGGAATGGGCGCAGAATGTGAGGGCCGAGATTGATGGGAGCTCGCCAGACCGAAACGGCCGGACAGCACAATCATCCAGCTCGTTAGTCCCGCCTGGGCAGAATACTTCAAGATCGTCGAGCGTAGGAGGAATGTCAGATGGAACTGGGTCCAATGGTAGTTATCATCATCATTCGTCCTCCTCTATCGGGACTTCTGTTTCTGGGGCCTCATCACCTTCTAAAGCGCTGGCCCCTGCCTCAAGCACCCCGGCACCGAACCTCCTCCAGTCGGTCCTCAATCATCAGACGACGACGGACCACCAACAGCAACGCGTGCGAACTGCGTCTGTCCCACGGTTGACCTTCACCTCGAATATCCCATCGCTTCCGACGACGGAGGAAGGCGTGCCGATGTCTTGGCCCCACGCGACGTCCTCACTGCACGGACTGGACGACAAGTCGGGAAGCATGACGCATGTGGTGACGAATGGCCCTTCTCGCAACCAGAGAGCACTCCCCAGGCTGCGGTCGCCGTTCAACCCGAGCAGCATGTCGAGCGAGGGCGAGGCGCCGTCGCGGTCCCAGTCTCCGTCAGCGGACGAGGCGAGCACGGCCCACAATGCGTCACTTCCTCCACGCACCGCGCCAACGTCGATCGCCACCCACAAACCGCCAATGCTGGATCCTTCGCTTGCCCTGCTCAACGACCAGTCGACGAAGACGTTCGACTACAAGGACCCGCGACCGCTGCATGAAGTCTTCACACCACCAGCGCTCACGACGTTCGAGGACCCGATCTGGGAGGTCGTGCAGGATATGCGTGAGCAGCGAATGAGCTTATGCCAGAGCTTGAGGCAGTACGTGTTCGTGCACGCGGCAATCATCGAGGGGTCGTTGATGGTACTGGACGAGGAGAGGGAGATAGCGGCAGGTATTGGCCCAAGGAATCAGTCGAGGACGGCATCACCTGCCCCGCCCGAGCCGGCCACGACCGAAATAACTCCTGCGACTCCTGCCACGCCTGTACCAGCTACCCCTGGAACCCCTCTAACCCCCGCCAGCCCAGCCAGTCCGGCGAAGAGCGAGCGAGCTCCCAGGTCGCGCTCGCGCTCACTCTCGCTGAGGCATCTGCACTCGAATGACACAACCTCTGGTGCGTCCTCGCCGTCCACTGGGAAACGCGGTGCGAGCCCGACGGAGCTGAGGAAGGAGGACAAGGAGGGCGGGGTGATGCTGTCGAAGCGACCGAGTATCAAGAGGAAGCAGCGCAGTGGGGACGATACCTCGGTCGAAAATGGGCGCTATATGGCTCCGCCGAGCCTTGGGGTGCCGCTGGTGGGTGGACCTGGCCCGTCTGTGAGATCGATGCCGCCGTAAAAAGACGTGCGCACAAGATGGACATTTTCGTTTCTATGTGCTTCTCCTCCACGCTTTTCGTTTACCTCACAAGCCTCTAGCTCATCGTACATTCTTTGGGAACTCACGAACATCAAAAATATCAGCCTACCCACCCGTTTCGCACCTTTTTCTCCTTTCATTCCTGCATTTCTGTATCAACATGCTCTGTGGAACTACCTACTGCGCTACTGTCCTACATTCATCCGTACATTTGCTGTATCCACTGTGTATATTTCGTTGTTCCTCATACGTCGTTAACGTTGTCTGCACCATCTCGTGTAGCCTCTGATGATGCTTATTTGAACATCCAATGGCCCACTCTTCCAGGATGCCCTTCTGATGTCCTGGATTGCTCTTACTCTTGTGCCTCTGTGCACGGACTCTAGGCCGGGTCTAAAGTATCTGATGGTCGAAAGTCCACCGTACTTAGAGTCCGTTCGGTTGCCATAATCCAGCTGGATTATGATTATTGATGGCTAGCCGGTCTCTTCCCACCCCTCATCAGCTTACCGGATTGGTCTAGGCGACGGGGAATTTGATGACCGCCAGCATTTGGCCCGTCGTCGGCGGGTGCCTGCTCGCCGTCTCGCACAGCGAGCACAGAAAAATACATGTTGTATCCCAACTTTCAAGTGCCATCTCTAGTAAATTGACCATGAAGCCCTCCCGAGAACTACTTCAGGGACGTCGTTGCTGAAAGCTCCTCAGCAATGTCATAAATGGTCAAAGTTTGTCAAAGAGTTCAGGTATTGTGGAAAAGGATAGAGTGATTTCACAAAGAGCAGGCATCTTTAGAGAGTCTTAGTATATGTATTAGAGCCTCGTACAAAATTTGAACTAATATCATGGAAAAGTGACCAAGATATCCGTGCTCGCTGTGCGAGACGGCGAGCAGGCACCCGCCGACGACGGGCCAAATGCTGGCGGTCATCAAATTCCCCGTCGCCTAGACCAATCCGGTAAGCTGATGAGGGGTGGGAAGAGACCGGCTAGCCATCAATAATCATAATCCAGCTGGATTATGGCAACCGAACGGACTCTTACACCAGGCGTCTTGTTCAGTGTACTTTGGTCGTAGATCATCAAGAAGCTCTCGAGGATCCCATTCTTGAATTCCTATATTTAGACATTGTGCCACTCTTACTAAATGCGAGTTAACGCTGCCTAGACACCGTTGAACTCCGTAGCATGTGGTGTATGGACGTGAACCTCAAATCATCGCATGGCGCACTCGTAAATATTGAATAGGAGTATTTCTCCCCTCCACCCTCCAGGTTCTTCAGAACGTGGCGCAAAGGGTCCTTACCTGTGACACGGGATCCCGAAGCAAATACAGAACAGAATCCGGTGGCCTGACGTAGAACTAATTTTCCACCAGAAATTTGGCCTTTCTTCTGTTGACGTTCAAATTATAAATCACTCGGGCAGATCAATCGCGCCCAAGGATGTATCAGTACTATGCAAGCTAAAAGAAGGGATCACATCATGATTTAGATTGAGTTCCCAAGCCGCTTGCCAATCCATACTAGTTGCTGCGCCACCCTTTCTCAGAAAGCTATCGATTTGTGGCAACTTATCGTGTCAAAAGGCTACCTAGACTGCGGCAAATATAGGCCCTTTCGACACGAATCGACTGCATACACTGCTCATTCCTGTCCTCATTCGACGGAAAGGTTTGCACCAGTGTCAATACCGGAACCCTGGTGGATCAAGTACTCGCCGAATAACATGTACTTACGAGAAATTGAGTTGTCGTCGGTACTCGTGTCTGTCAGGTTGAGGGAGTTGAATGATCAGAGCTACAGAGATGGCCGGGAAGCTGTATCAAATGTTTGGATTGTTGGCTTTTGCGCGTCGGGTTCGTATATATTCTGCTACCATTGATTTAGCACAATCTGACAAACTTTTGCTTTGATAAGACTCTTTGGTTGGTTCACAAAGGAGATGCCGTTGGTCAGTGAGAGAAAGCGACACCTGTGAGCCTGTTAAACTCGCTGAAGGTCATATGTGGGTGTCCCGTGCCGTCGACAGTGAACATCTTTGAGACTGTACTGATAGTGTGGCGCATCTCCGTTTTTGGAAACGCAGAGAACCATCTGCGTCGCGCGACATTATCCAACATACCAGCAGGAATGATTTGAATTTTGGGGCTATAATCAAGGAGCTTCCTTCTCGTCTAACACACTATTCCACAGAGTTAGATCCAAATCTGGTGAAGGAATGATGAGGATGGCCCGAAGGACAAGTCCTTTGCTCCTCGATAGGCTAGGCCAGGGTTTAGACATTGGCAATGCTATCTGATCATCCTACATAGCGTATAAAATTATGACATGTAGCGGCTTGGATCCAGAAGTTGATGCGTTGACGACCCAATTCGCCGATGGCGATGATGATACTGAGCTTGTTGGTTGCCCACTCATGCGATTCCGAGTTCAGGGCTGTCACTCATCTATCAATACAATAATTCCAGTCGGAACATCGTATAAGAGAACTCTACACCTCCACGGTCGTTATTCAATCACCGTTTGGTCGCTGTGATGTTTGCAAGTGTACTGACCTTCCGGCAACCCTGAGTTTTCTTCTTTGAAGATCGTTTCCAATCCTGCATAAATTGGTCAATACGCGCAGGTTGTGTCTGTTTCATAGATCGAGGACAGAAAGAGTGTTGGATGACTCTCCGTTGACTTGAAGTTGTCACAGACGCGTCTCGTCACGATCACGGGAATCGGGCCGAGGCGTAACGTCAGTTTGATCTATGATTCGTTGTCCTGCTCCGCTCTCGTTCAAGTTGGGACCGTCAAGCCCTGCGACGCTGGTACGACGGAAGCAGCAAGCAAACGAACCTCTTGACCCCCCCTCCCCGACGGTGGAGACCTGCGCAAGTTCAACCTTCTCTCTCCAATATTTGCTGTGTTCGCCCGGTGTCAACACCTGCCTAGGTCGACTCCAACAATCTTCTCGTCTTCTGTCACAACGGACGATTAAATGCGACAAGTACAAAGATCGAGGGAAATGTTCGACGTGTGTTTAATTGCACATCTTCGCGACTGGAGGATATCGACACATCCTGTTCACCCTATAATCTGCGGCCGAGGCCAGGGCCGGGGACCAGGGCGTCGATAAACGTTTGGCGCCGTAATGCCCTATCCTAATCGTGGGTCAATCGTAGGCGCCTCGCATGGCCGCGGTCGGGTCTGTCAGACTTGAGTCTCAGCCACTGTCAACATCCCGCAATGACAGGATTAATTGTCCCTGACCCTGGTATTTCGACCATACGTACGTTTACTTGCCTTATTACAAATCCAATCGCCGAAGTAATCCTTCCACAGGCACAACATCTGATCTGTCTCATAACGTCTCCCTTTTCAGCGACGAGTTCAATATCCTGTTAGGTACTACATCAACCTGGACGCATCACCACCTCGAGTCTCTTACGTTCATCCGGAAGATGAAGGCGATGTTGTGAGCTACGTAGAACCTGCCTACCCACGAGCGCGTCGATACATTCAGGCAACACAAGCGGACGTACCGCTTGTGAATGCTGTTCGAGCACACAATAGTGGGAAGCCCACCCAGGCCCAGCAGCTATATGCTAGCGTGATACAGAAGCAACCATTATTGATCAATTCCACGAACCCACTTCCCGAAAATGGGTGTGACGACGGAGGGCCGGTTAATAGTGAATGCTCAGGAGAGGATTTCGATCCTGAAAGCTTGTATGCATCACCATCGGCTTCTCCAAGCGCCACACCGTCATCGCCGACGCCGACGCCGACACCTTTATCTTCCGTTCCATCTCCGAGCCTTAATGGAATACAATCTTTCTCCAATCGTGCGGGAAATCGTCGTGGAGCACGAAGTTCAACGGTTTCTCGACTTTCCACTTCGCCTCTATATGCTCCCTCTGGAGGACATGCGGCCACATTCAAATATACTCTTCCTCATTTAAGCTCTTCCTCCAACGTCAGGAATCCTGGTGCGGAATTGACCTTTCAACATCATGGGTCTGCCACGCTTCCCACCGCTTTCCCCCGGTCTTCTGCAACAAATACCCTGCCTTCAGGTTCAACAACAGCGCGAAAGGAAGCTCCCATGTATACGACAACGGCTCGACTATCTAGCCAGTTGTCCGACCCTTCCAAGCTCACGACACCTGCGTTTCAGAATGGGTCGCTTTCGCTGACCTCGCGACCGAACCCCATCGTCGTTCACAACATTGCAGCACCGAAATCTTCGGCAATAGACTCCCTTCCAAGTTCTCAACCGCAGTTTGCCCCGAGTCTATCTGGTGCAACTATCCAACATCCATATAATTTGCCATGGCCTGCGGTTATTTCGATCAGCTCGAACAATGCTACCATTTCCTCACAGCCAAATGTCTTGTTGGAGGGTGCGCAGGGCAACACAAATCCAACAGCCACACTTCCTCAGAACGATGTCGACCCTCACGCAAGGCGGAAGATCCTCAAGAAAATTAGTATTTCCATTGGTAAGTCAGTGGGAAAGGTGGTTCTCAAGGCCAGGGCGAAAATGGTCCTGGGAAGCGTTGGCATTCCCACAGATGTGACAAATATATTGTCTTCCGAGGACGAAGGAGGTGTGGTTGACGCTTTAACGGCAGGGCTTTCCGAGATGGTAGCTTCTGCTGCATCGGGCGTTTCAAATGCCATCATTCCTGGTGCTACTCAGAGCAAACCAAGCACGCCATCGACCGCCAACACCGCTTCTCCTTCGGCGTCCGTGAGTCGCGTTCTCGTTCCCATTCATGAGCCTGCACCAGCCGCTCCGGCAATGCCCTCCATGCCAACAAACTCTACAAATGTATCTCAGGCCGACTATGATGCAATCGTGCACCAGATGAATTTGTTGCATGTAGCGCAACAGAAGCAAGCAATGGCCCTGCAAGAATTGCACCATCCACCTCCAATCTCCGCTTTGCCTAATACTCAAGCTCCAGGAATGATGAACTACAGTGCTATGGGCAATCATATGTATGCAATGCAACCAGCACCACAGCAGGGCATATTCTCACAGCAACCCGCCCAACAAGGCACCAGTATCTGTCCCAATCTTGGCTTACTCTGCTGCGCAAATCCATCCCGAGGCTGTGCTTGCTTCTCACAGCGCCCAGACGTTTGCCCGGCCTCAGGATTTGTCTCAGAATCCCCCGTCTTCCCAGTCAAATATTCTGGGTAGCGTTCTCGGTGGAGCGACGAACGCAGTTGTATCGAGCGCGATTGCTAACATTGATTTTGCGGGCCTGACGGACGCTGCATCTAGCACGTTGACCGACTTCACCACGTCCTTCTACCCGACTGTGTAGGAGGTTTTTTAATATCAGTAGTTCTATCAATCATAATTTTTTTTGCGTTGTTGCATTTATTCTGGAGGATTTTTGGGGCATCATTGTTGCGGTCTTTGAGCGAACCAAGGTGCCCCTCGAGTCTTGACTCGTCTCTAGTCATGAACCGGACAAATACTCTGTTGCCGTTACTTCGATATCACTAGAGCCAGTGGCTTCTTGCCACCTATCAGAGCCGCACGCTTCCAAGTTCCATCGGTCTCGGACAAGAAAGCCATTCATTATCTCCATCGATGCGCCAGGTGTTGATGAATGCTCTTTCTCAGGCTTTTTATCAAACAGGAGCAAGTTCAAGTTTGGGTATGACACGGCCATCTCTTACCATCTAAAAGCGACGATGGTTGACCTTGATCACTTCTCACTTTCCATCTTACGCTCCCCCAATCCCCGTGGTCGATTGGACTCTGCAAATGCCGGCTGCTCCCAGAAACCCCGACACACGGCCGCTTCCTGAAGGTTGGGCTGAGCACTTCGACTCCCAGTACGTCCCCTCATCGCCCGCACATCCTTTAATGTTGACATATTTCTTCTGAACAGGCGCAAATTATGGTAATCAAATATCCTCGCCTCTTTCGTGAATACCCTGAGCCGATAGGCGCCGCCTTGTTTGCAGGTACTATATTGACCTAAATGCCTCAACGCCTCGCGTAACTTTTGTCCATCCCTGTGATGGGACGCACCCTGCGAGTGCCCCAGTGAAGCCTCCACGGGAGCATGGGACGTACGGACGGCTCGCCATTCGACCTGTAGGCGGGCGAGATAATCCAATGCACGCGGCTACTGCCGCCTCGCGCGATCCACAACGTACACGACGAGCTACCGTTGCACAACAACTCTACGCGAGCTCCCTCACGCTAGAATCTCGGAATCCTCCACCACCGAGCCTTTCAGTTGACAGCAAGTCGCGTTCTTCATCACGACGGCCGTCTGTGTCGAGCACCCACAGCAAATCTCCGTCCGACGAAGCCACCGCTTCCTCTTCGACACTCCTAGCAGCCGTAGCGGCAACGGCGGGTTCCGCAGGAGGGTCTCTGCCAATGGGAACTTCTTACCCACCTACTCACAGCACCACCTCGCAGACGCATCTACATCAGGGCCTGGCAAGCGTTTCAAGTTCAACACCTTCAGCAGCTTCCTTAACGCATTTGGACTCGCACGACCCAAGAAACTACTTTGATTGCACACGATTGTCTCGGGGCACTCGCCGCATGACATACGCCGGGCCCCAACCCGGACCTTCTTCGAGGAGCGGCGCTATTTTGGGCGCGAAAGGTGAGTCCACGAAGGACGGGAGCAAGGGGACATCCTATACGGCCCAGGCTTTTTACCACCCCTCCGTTGTTACCTCCCCGTTGGCCAGTCCTCCACCTAAGGCACCCTCTGGGTCAAACTACACCCAACGTCAACTCTCATTGTTTCCACCTCCCACCTCATCCGTTCAACAACCCATCACCCCCAACAGCAGCTCTACTCTAACCTGGAACCCACCTCGCGTTGAGGCCCCAACACCTCCAGTTCCACCTACCCCGAGTCACTTTCCAGATGAGAATCTGTACAGTGCAGTCACCGAGGACAACTTGATGGTCGTGCACAGTCATCACAGCGACACCAGCCCAAATCACTTCTCGGATGCCAAATCATCTTACGCTGCGATAACCGAGGATAATCTCCTCGTCATGCCCTCGCACCTTCAGAATCGCACGTCTACCCGTTCCAAACGACGATCATTTGCCCCAATTGATGTCGCACTCCTCCAGAACAGCGAGCAATCCAATACACGACCATTGAAGGATATTTCGACGATGATGGAACGACCGATCCTCCAACCCAAACCCGTCAAGCCTATCAACACGGTCAGCCTCGACTTCCAGGTCCAGGTCGCGGAGAATCCAGCTGAATCAGATGAGCCACCTGAAACTCATACAAAAACCAAAAGGAAGAGTAACGTTTTGAAGAAGGGCATCAGCCTTGGCATTGGGAAAAGCATCGGTCAAAAGGGAACTCTCCTGGGTGTTCCTCGGAATCGGGAAAGCACCGATGTCTCACGAGAGCTGGATGGGCTCGCGTCGAGGATGGACTCGTCTTTCGTCGTATTGGACGGCTCAGATATGCGTAACGGATCATGACACTACTTATGACAATAACCACCGCATCTTTCATGTTGTATTCTAGAGTGTTTATTTCATCATGCTTTCTTGTTTCCAGAAGTGTTTTGGGACCTTGGTATATAGTTCATGAGCGGTAGATTGTATTAGTGCTGATGATACAGAGTAACCGTTTCTAAATGGTGGAACAAGTCCGTGTGGTATTGATACAGAAATTGGTGATATAGCGTAAGGGGCACGGTAAATGCTGCAGGACGGCGGAGATGGGCTCTAATACGTGTGTTATGAAGCAACGTTGAAGGATTCCCCGCATCCGCAAGCATCCTTGATATTAGGGTTCTTGAAAACAAATTTTGAACTAGCCAAGGGTCAACATCACATCATAGACATAGATGATAAGTCAGCGCACCTGAGCGGGTCCTCCTTCCAGTCCATCTCACTCCCAATTATCGAGAAGAGTGCCTTGGAGTCTATTAGCACTCGAACGCCATCCTGTGAGACGACCTCGTCGAATTTTCCGGGTTTCTCGACGTATTCGAGGTGGTACGAGAGGCCTGCACACCCCTTGTTCCGCACACCAATCCGGATTAGTTGGGGTGTTGGGCCACTGAGGAGGTTCCGTAGTCTTTGGACAGCACCGGGTGTCTAAACCATTTCAAAGAGTAGAAGTGAGTCCAGAGTAGCATCGGGAAGAGTGCGCGGAGCTAACGCACGATCGTAAGGGCAGCCTTGGTTGCACGAATCGTCGGCCGGGGCTTCTCGGCTCTAGGAACAGGTGGGGGAGGTGCTGCTGTTTGTGGTGCAGCCGCATCGGCCGACATTGCTGTCGATTCCGCCGGTATAGTTGGCGGAGGAGAGTTCGGAAGCGCTGGATGGTTTATGGCCCCCGTGCGGAGGGCAGACATCATGGCTCTTCGGGTGATGACGGTCGAGGAGAGACATGGAATGCGCATTGAGGGGTGCATGCGGGCAAGTGAGAGTGCCATTGGGGAAGGAGATGGTGGTGGTACAAGAACAGGAAGGCTCGAATCTGGTGGTCTGGAGTCAGACCGGGGCTGGATCCAGCGTCCCTCACTTGTTGACACTTGTTGACACTTGTTGACCAATCCCATTATCCAATCACATTACGATTATTGCATACAACATGTCTACCAATCTACCTACGTCTCCTGCACATAGTTTCCTGTGCTACTACTCAGCTGATGATCTGTCAAGTCCCGGAATGCTTACCTGGGAACACTCCTTGCTGCCCGTTTATACGGCCTGTCCACCAGTCCTCAGCGCTTTCCGTTTTCTGCACCAGCTCGATCCTATCTCCCGCGTTGAACGATAAATCTCCGTCCGCCTGGAAATCATTAGTCATGCCCCATCTGCATCGCGAGCGAGTCCACAAACCTGGGCAGCGAAATCATACAAAGCAACAACATATCTGATTTGGGGCGCAGGAGGCTTCGGCTTCGGCTTCAAAGGCGGAGGGGGAGGTGGGGCACGCTTTGTTGCTGCTGCTGACGCAGCTGCTACACCGCTTGCTGAGGGGGTGTATGGAGGTGGGGCTGCACCTTGCGATGAGAGTGACGCAGGAGGAGCAGGAGCCTTCTTGTATGATGCTGACACAGAACGAGATGGCGGAGGTGCTGTCTTCAGGCTCGAAGAACCAGAAGCCGTTGTTGCGACAGATCCTGCACGCCCAAGCATGGTCTGGTTGTTCTGTGCACGCGTTTGTTGAACTAGTCTGGCTGATATAGAGCGCCCCATCAGACCTCAAAAACGCGGTGGAAGGTTCCATACTTACAAACTGATACAATCCGTTTGATGATCCCCAAGTTTTCGATGATACTCCAGGCATCAGTCCTCTTCTCTTCATACTCTTGAGCAATCTGGGCCCCTGGCACGTTGCTTATATCATATTTGGACTCATCAGCGAAGCTCTGCATCTTTTCCAACAACAAATAAAATATGTTGAGTCTGCCGGTCAAAGTTGTGTCGTGGTCAGATCTTGTTGTGCAAAAAGTTTTCGGTAATAAAACATACTGCATATAGAAGAAAGAGTTGAATAAAGGGTCTATGAACTGAGTGGCCAGCATCATAAAGCGTGGAAGATCCTGTTTCAGGGCATTATTGATATAGTCGTACTCATTAGTAGCGATTTCAAAGTCTTGTTCCAACTACCAAGAACATAAGCCAACAATTCCAGGCGTTGATCGATATCTCACCTTGAACAGGTTCTTCTCGTCGCTCAACGATTTGTCTTTCTTGTCGCGAAGCTTTGTGAGCGAATTGTTGAATCGGTCATAATCGGTCAACTGGAAATGCGGTAAATATGGGAAGTCCAAGACCAGGCATGACGCACTTTATGCTCGCGCTTCGTTATGCTCTTACGAATGGTCTTCATCACCGCTTGCAACTCCTTCGCAGGCCCAACGATGCGCGTGTCAATGAGCTCGAGCTCTGGCCCAATCAGCTCACGCATTTCTGCCATTGCGGCCTCGTACTTGGTCACATTGCGAATTGTGTGCCCTGCATCAGGGTGTTTTCCGATGAGGTCATACTCGCCAGCGATGGGCTGGAGGATGACGGTGAAATGGGAAGCAAAGCCAGCTCCAGCAGTGAACAGGGCTGTTGAAGACGATTCCAAGATGATTCCAGGGCATAAAGCACGAGTGGGGACATGTGTCACAAGAGATTAACAAAACCACGGGTGCAAGTCAGTTCCCTGTCCGCGAGGAGGTCATGAAGGTTTCATACAAGTGACAGCCTCCGAGAACGCTTTGCTATCCTTGATAAGCTTCTCTGCACCTTGCTCCAGTGCAGTGAAATGGCGATGGTAGTCGTCGAACTCGGGGTCAGTCGACTCTAAAGATCGGGGATGGAGCGATGAAAGTCAGCGGGTTTGGCGCTCGGTCTCGTTCAACTGAAGGCTCACTCTTCGCCATTCCAATCTTGCTAGTAACAGCGAACGGCGTTCTAAAACGCATCGAGGAGTAAGAGAACGGTGAGAATAATCGTGAGGATAAAATCCAGTTACCGCGCCAGCGCCTTCCCGAAGCCCTTCATGTCTGCGAGATGAGCGAGTCCAGAGGAGATGTGGGGCAAAGGAACTGCGGCCAATCCTTGGTGTACCAAGCATTAGCAGTGCCTCATATCAATATTCCCACGCCGTGTCTACCTGTTTGCACCGCGACACCCGCGAACTGGGCAAGGGCTACGTGCAGGATGGTAGGCTCCCGCCCACTATGTCCCGAGGTTGAGTCAAGAGGTGTATGCACCCATCTGAGGCCGTTGTACAGTTCGCATTTAATTTTGAAGTTCTCAGCCTTCTGTCCTCATTTATGACGTCACGTGGAATGATTCATACAAACTTGCTCACTGCCGGGCCCGAGATTGCAGACTATACCTCAGCTTGCATCTTTGTACTCCTTCTCTAATACGACAAGCCAGCTTCGCCTGATATCCAGCCCATAGACAATATGCCTCAGATCCAGCAACCATCTAATCAAATCAAGTAATGTTCAACCTGCTCTCACGAGCGCCGTCCATTGAGGAATATTTCTTCTAGATTGACAAATGTAGCCATAGTACGACTAAAGAAAGGCGGTAAACGATTCGAGGTACCCATCATATTCCTTTTGTTGAATAACGACCGCTCATAAGTCTTCTAGATCGCCTGCTACAAGAACAAAGTCCAGGAGTGGAGAACCGGAGTGTATGTCTGATTTGTTCGTCAGGAATTTTAGACCGGCTGACCTCCTTGTCAGAGAAACGAATCTAGATGATGTGCTACAGATCAACAATGTATTTGTGAACGTGTCGAAGGGTGAGGTGGCGAAGAGCGGTGATTTACAGAAGGCGTTCGGGAAGATGGATGTATCTGGCATCGTAAAGGAGGTATGTTGGATTTGATCTTTCATCTTGCCTTACCACGAGATAAGTCTTAAGATGCATGTTTTCTAGATTCTCAAGAAAGGAGAAGTCCAAGTCGGAGAGAAGGAGCGCGACCACGATCTTACATCTCTACGAAAGGAAATCGCGACACTCGTGGCCGAGAAATGCGTCGATCCCGTTACCCAGCGACCTTATCCCGTCGGGATGGTCGAGAAAGCGATGACGGAAGCAGGCTATAGCATCAAACAAAACAAGAACGCTAAAAGTCAGGTAAGCTCCCCACCATATTGTTTGGTCGCAGAAACGAGTTGAAAAAATGTACTAGGTCTCTGAATGCATCAAGATTCTGCAATCAGATTCTACTCTGCCAATTCAAAGAGCACACATGAGGATCAAGGTCTCCTTGCCAGTCGCAGATGTACCGAAACTCCGAGGGAAGGTCCTTGAGGGTGCAGAGACGGTAGAGCACGACGAGACAGGCGAGACAGATTGGGCAGTGGTACGTCGATCCATTTATTTCCTTCCAGTTTTTATCCTGAATATGCGCCTTTAGACCATGTTGATTAACCCTAGTCAATTCCGGGTCATCAACGATCTGCTGCAGAAAGAATGCAAAGGCCGAGGGCGTTTGGAAACTTTAACATTCACCGCAACATCGACGGCGGGCACTTCTTAGTTCGATCGGTGTATAATTGCCTCGTTAGAGTTGGATTGGTTGATAGAATTACAGGTTGACGTCGCTCAGAATTAGCGGTCGCACCACTCTGCCCCAGTTCTCTTCCCATGTGCTCCAAGTCCAGGTTTCCTCCTTCTCGGGAGTGCTCCGGTGTTGCTTTGGCATATGAGGGTTAGATGGCGTGGATGGCCGATGCGACAGATTGTTGAACGAGGATGTTAGTAAGGCGAGTCGAGGAGCATCGGGAAATGAAAGGAAGAGCTCCTATAACGACGTTTTCAGTGGATAAATATCAAACAGGTGAGGTCCAGTTCACCTCAAGCTGTATCGCTAGTTGGGAAGAATTGTTGAAGACGAGCCCATTCTTGCCGTTCTTCACCAATTCATTGAGACTGTTGAAAAGTTAGATCGGGCTGGAAACTTCCAACGGTGGACTGACCAAGTGAAGTCCAAAGCACAGACAGGAAGCCCACACCCAAACATGTCTACGACCTTCATTGGTAGATCAAGAGCGGAAGAGCTGGAATGAAGAGACACCCCTAGGTCTGCCGATCCTGTTAGGAAGGGTTAGACGACGCCACGTTCATCTAAAATCCGCTGAGATAAACCTAGTAGAACAGGATAATCTTCAGCTTCAAGCCAAAGGCTTATGCAGCGGACCCATTTCCACGATTCTTGCAATTTTGAAATCTCCGTCATATATTTTTCTCGAAGAGGACCTTTCCCAGTCACAATGACAAGCAACTTTGGCAGTCGGCCCTTAGTCATTGGAGCTTTTACTGCATCCACAGAACCCAATTCCTGGGCCCGACTCTCGTAAAGACGAAGCGCGTCCAGTAATATACTGAAGTCTTCATCTGGAGTCCATGAGGTACTAGAGACAAGCACTGCTGGCCTGTCTGCTCTAAGGGTGGGCATTCTAGTTTCTGCAAATGATGAACTTGTGGGAGACGCAGAGCCTCTTGACGATGTCCGTTCTGGAGTGTCCGTTAAGGGTGTGGAATATGGCATTGAGACTTTTGGTAAGAAGCCACGGAGAGATTTTTGGGCCAACAGAGATGGCTGCAATTTGCAGAAAAGCTGGAAGATGGTTTTAGACGACGGCTTAGAAAATATGCAGCACCACATACCTCATGAATTTCTTGAGCAGAAGAGCGATGGAAATGTCGTGGTGGACGATCGTATAAAACGGCTTTATGACCCCTTGGTTCAATCGTTGGAGTCTGAACTCGACCACCGGAGAGAGAACTACCCACTGAATATCCCACTCTTTGACTAGAAAATCGCGCATAGCTTTTGTGACAAATAGGTGGGCATAAGCAGAATATCCAAAAGTAGCTTCAAACCTGGTGAAGCTTTAATTTGTTGCCTTATAGTCAGGACTTCCAACTCACCACTTTGCAATGCGGACCAAAATGTGATCTTCTCCCAATTTCAAGGCAAGAATGCTGTATCCAAGATTATGCCAGTCAATGATGACTTTGCTGCCGCGAATTCGTCCCACTAGGTGCACTAGTGCCAACATCGGGATGCCAGGGGGATTCTTGTGTTGCATAATTCAGCCTCGTGATAAACCTAGCGACACGTCGACGAACCTGTACAACGATGAATTCCGGGGGCACTTCTATCCAAAGGAGGAGCCATAGTAAGATGTTGACAATTTGAAGGGCTATTTTGATGGGCGCCAAAAGTATGAATGGCAGAAAGCGAAACATTGTCGGGAGTTCAGGGATATAATGAATCCTCACTCTGGGTAGACGTTCGAGAGCGGGGATAGGCTTTGAACCTGCAGATCGTGGTGTTAATTTCTCAATACACAGAAGGCACGTCCTGACCTCCATAGCCAATAACATCAGTCATGAAGCCGTTCTCTGCGAAACTTTGAGCATGGTACATCATCCTTGGACTACGACCAATATCTCCCAGGACAAGGACGGCTACAGAACGTAGCGAGTGATGATTCCGAGGTCTGAATGCTCTCCATGAGACGTAGGCGAACCAAAGAAACGAAAGGAGAAGAAAGGACTGAAGCGCGAGTTCTGGCAGGTCATCAGCAGAAGAGTTTACCATTCTTGAGGCTGCGCGGTGAATGCATTGAACGTTGTGCCAAACCTGGATCGGGGTGAGTGATCGTGGCAGCCGGTTCCGGCGGCTCGGAGGCAATTGACGCATTATTCAGCGGGCTCTCCTCATTCACAAACCACCATGGCCTCCTCATCGTCTCTCCGCGTCCTTGCACAGGCCGCCTCAAGGACCTCCCCAAACGTCCGCACAACTGCCTATAGATCCATACGAACTTTCGCAGCAACGGCCTCTCCTCGGAGAACATCACACTTTGGCCTACCATTTGGTTCTCGACCCTCCCACAGGAATCAACATGTGCCTCTCTCAATACAGCCTTCTTCAAGTGACTAATTTATTTCATCTCATCACGGCAAGCTCTGACATGTGTGCGCAAGAACGATCTATGTTCATCCAGACAGAGACAACTCCAAATGACGACTCGTTGAAGTTTATTCCCGGCGTTCCGGTAATGGGCGAGGAAGGGACCGCAGAATTTCTCGATACGCGCTCCGCCCTCGCGTCGCCGCTTGCCATCAGACTCATTGGTGTCGAGGGTGTAACCACCGTGTTCTACGGCCCCGATTTCATAACTGTGTCCAAGGATTCTGAAAACCCGTGGTCTGTCGTCAAACCAGAAATATACTCCATCCTGATGGAGCATTTCTCTTCTGGGCAGCCCTTATTCCGTAGTGCTGAAGACCGTGAGGCAGCCGGCCCACAAGACACCCGAATCCTAGACACGGACTCCGAAACGGTGGCCATGATCAAGGAATTACTGGAGACCAGAGTTCGCCCTGCAATCATGGAAGACGGCGGCGATATCGAGTACCGCGGCTTCGACGAAGAAACAGGCATTGTTACAGTCAAGCTAAAAGGAAGCTGCCGAGGCTGTGATTCCAGCACTGTAACTCTGAAATCTGGGATCGAACGCATGTTGATGCATTACATCCCAGAAGTCAAGGGGGTGGAGCAGGTAAGTTTGAAAGAAGGGATTGCGTCAATATCGCCGCTAAATTCACTCATGAATAGGTTCTGGATCCGGAGGAGCAGGTCGCACTGAACGAGTTCTCCAAATTGGAGAAGAAACTATCACGAAAGGAGGAATCCAGCGACTCTAGGTGACTTTCTGGTTGCCCATCTGTCAGGAGAACGTCGGCTCATTATTTTCAGCATGGCCCAATACATGTCTGTATAGAAAAACAACTTATATAGTGCGTCGAGGTATAATAATAGTCGATAATGTGTGTAATGAAGACTGGGGAGGTGTCTGATTTGAACCCACGCAGCCGTTGCCAAGATAGCTTAGGTGATCACATGTTCCGCCTCTAATCTGAGGACTGTATGGTCCCAGTTCCTTAAAGCGTTTCCTCTCCTCACGATTATATCCTCCGCCGTTATCCCGCTCTTGCCATTGGCACTGACCGCCTCAAGCAATGGTAATGCCTACCAGCTTTCTTGACTTGATTCCTTCACTTACCGACCCCTGTAGGTCTATGTCAATAGCAAGAAGTTTGCCTGGTACTTGTTCTCCACTCGCCCGGCTTGCTGCTTGCTGACCTGAAGACCACAGCGAATCATGCATCAAAGGCCATAGATCGTCTTCCTGCCATCATACCGACAGACCTCTTTTTGAGATTAAAAAGAAAGGCCGTCCTGTGTCGCAATGCACCAAATGTCGGGAGCTGCGGCAATCGAAGAAGTTGCATTCGAAATGCACTTGCAACCACGCCGTGAGCGAGGTCCAGGCAATGCAGCCTTTAGCATCATCCTCCGGATCCAAAAGTACGTTCTATCACCCTGCTGCCTTTCCGTGATTGACAACTACTTCAGCGAGGCGGTTCATCCCCATTGCCCCTGCCCTTCCCAACGGTTTACGAGATGTCCTTTCCCAATCATCGATGTCATTACCTGCTGATGCTCGGCAGAGAGGTGTGTAGTCCTGTGATCACACTAAGGGACTTGGTTCTAATCGATTCCTATAGTGGACTCGCTGCTAAATCCTTGCACTTGCAAGAGTGTTTGGAAGTGCAAATGCGGGCAGACTACAGCCTCCGGGCCATCTGTTCCTGAAAGCCCAGCTTCCGAATCAGTCGGTGGTCTCTCAACGCTCACCCAAGCTGCTGCAATGTGTTGCGCCTCCTCTCCGGCCGCTACCTCTGTTTCGCGTTTGGCGCAATCCCTTCCCGCGAAGAAATCCATCAGCAGACCCCGCCCACGCCCCGAAAGTCCGCACTTCCCATCCAGCAAACGACAGAAGCACGATGTAACGTACTCCGTTCCCTCGCAAGGACCGGACCTACCTCCGATCCTCTATGGACAAGCCTCGCCGCCCTCGTCCTCGATTTCAACTCCGATGCCCGAATTTACATTCATGCCTCCAATGAGCCAAATCACCTCTCTTGCTGGTTCTGGGTGCACTTGTGGCGTTGAATGTGCCTGCCCGGGGTGTGTCGAGCATCGCGGGCTGGGCCACACCAGTCACGACCACAGAGATTGCGCAGAAGGATGCGGCACTTGCATTGACCGTACTCTCGGGATTGCGCTGCCTTCCACCAGCTCCTCGCAAGAGACGAGCACGAGCTTCCTTGATCGCTTCTTTGCCAGAGCGGCAGCCCTTCCGCCCCCTCCAGCCCATCGCAAAATGTCCTCAATCCACCTGGACCCCATGAATACGACCGTTTACACCAATGCCGTCAGATCACAAGACGGAACCCAGAATCTCGCTTTTGGTTTAGTTAACCTTCCCAAGCTGGAGTGCTGCGGTGGTCAGTGCAAATGTCCTAATGGAAACTGTACCTGTCGGACTTCCTGCGGGGGTTGTTGCGACAACGAAAGACACCCAGCCGAAGGGGCAGCGATCCCAATGGAAACTACACCTCCAGCTCCAGTGTTACGAAGTTGCTGTGCTGGTAAGGGTTGAACAACACACATTTTTCTCTCACTTCCTTGTATTTGGTAGCTATGCACTTATCATCTCAAATTTCCCTTATACTTTCCCCTGCTCTTACGGTTTTACGTTGTACATCGTGGAATACATTTTCTGTGGAGTTGGCTAAACAAATGTACATTGGTGTGCAAGGAAAGGATCAATGTTAATTCACGTGTCGTTCACAATCAGTGGGGTGGTATCTTGAATAGAATCTATACACTTTCAACAACGGGATCAGATGGCTAGAGAGGTGAAGTTACACAGGTGTTACTTACGTGTCATCTACAAGGAAGGAGAAGAGAGCAGAGTTAGCAATGGAAACTTGTACTACGATCCTTTCATACCATCATAATGGAAGAGCGTCTAACGGGAGAGTAGCATCAGGTTAAGACCAAATCATGGATCCGAACAATCACATACTTTCTTCGGATTATCTGGAGCAGTTCGCACATATCTGTCGTTGTCCGCTGGCCTAAAAGACGCTCGATATGACTGGGATGGCTGTAGGATGGACTTCACACGAACCGTTCCTTCTTCTGCGATAGCGGAAGAAGCATGAGCCATGCATGGACCATACGCGCCTAGAACTTACCTTGCAAGATGCCAGCATGCTCTGTAGAGTCACGCAAACCGCGATTACACTCAGGACCGGTGACCATTCGCTTCCTAGGATCGACGCACAGATCTGCGCGATGAGTGTTGCAGTATGTTTCATCGGGTCACATTCTACAGTGTCGTAAACGACTTACGTGCCCGTTAGAGTAAACATGCTAGGGCACGGGACAAACATGAGCCTTTGTTCGTTCTATGGCTAAACCAGGCAGAATGGACGAACTGGATGGATGGGCGCTTCCTTCCCGTCTGTGACGACGAACTGGACGGCAGGTGACGATATTGGATATTGTGCATCGAATCTGAATTGAAGGGTATACACCTCTCCCTGTGGACCCACAGAGCGTAGAGTAAGAAGCAGATAAGAAGGTTGAAGCGAGTGAGAACGCACCTGGTATTGGGAGTTCCCCATGACCTCTATCGTAAATAACCATTTTGTGAAGTCACTAGCATCGACCAGTGTAATACCTATGGATTTATATCTCAGAGTTAGTCAAGAACAGCAGACGCCTCAGCACATTGTGCAGGAGGATTGGACTGCGGGTGTCAAGCAAACCTGCGAAATAGCCTTCGGTAGAACTCACCAACGGGACATCCCTCGGATTGAATCTCACGCAATTCTTTGGCCAAGCGCCTTGCAGATATAGACCCCATGGATGAGGTGGAAAAGGCTCGAAGATAAAGCGATTTGGATTGTGGATGAGAAACAAGAGAGAGGCTGTAGGGACCGGATGCGATCAATACTAGTAATTAAGGCACAGCCACCGACTCGGATGCAACGTCAACGAGCGCTGATCTGTCCTGTGGAACCGTAGTGCGAGAAAAAAACTAGGTAGCACTTGGACATAGAAAGAGAATTCTGTTGTTGAGGTGAAAACCCGATGAAAGAGTGAAATTCGTCGGAGCCCTCAGCATCTCTGAGAGATCTTCTGTGGTGGAAGCTGAAGACAAGCAGGGCCAAACACGAGTTTCCTATAAATGTGGCGTTTTTCGCACTTGTTTCTTCATGTCTCCCTGCCTTAGAGTCACTTGCGTTCCCGTATCTTTCAGAAGGGTCTAGCAGGCGCTCGTGGGGAGATAGAGCATCTCCCAGTCCTGCACGTCCTTAAACAAGGGTGCTACCTCAAGGCATTCCTTGTCTCGAACATGTATGATACACCAATAAAAGTACATCCCTTTTTTTATCTATCGTCAAAGCAATACGCCTTCGCAGCCTTACTGCGCACTACTTTCAATCTGCTGTGTCTCATCTGCCGCCTTCGCTTCAGCGACTCGTCGATTTCTGTCCACGTTGATTTCATCTAGAATTCTCTTCGCCCCGTTTTCCAACACTATGTTGGCCAGTTTCTCCCCGACCTTCTCAGCATCTTCAAGAGATGTCACCTTTTCCTTCAGGGTGTGCTCAACGTGGGCTCGTCCATTCACGCTGGTGACGCTGCACGTTATCACGAGGACCTCTGCTCCGTCTTTGTTCATCAAATTACTGGTGACTCCGACGGGAACACTGCAACCTCCTTCCAACACCCGAAGACATGCCCGTTCCGCTGAGCATTTCCATGCAGTTTCCCGATGCGTGAGGGCCTTACACAACTCGATCGCTTCAACGTCGTCGCTCCGAATCTCCACGGCCAGCGCCCCTTGGGAAACGGCGTAGTATAGAGTCGGGGCCACGATGTCCGACGTCGCGCGATCCCCCAGTCCCAACCTTACAAGGCCAGCTTTTGCGAGGATTAACGCAGCGAATGGACCATCTTCGGCGTCTAATTTAGCGAGACGCGTATTCCTACCGAATCCAGTCTATTAACCGCCTAATGATTAGAGATCGAGGAAGTAACTCACAAGTTTCCACGCTACAATGAGAAAAGACATGAATTTCAGATCACAGGGAACATTTTCTGCAAGGCAGAAAACTCACCACGTCCTGGAAAACCAGATTGGGATATGTACGCTTCAGCTGCGCAACTCTACGAACGCTGCTCGTCCCAATAACACTTCCGGATGGGAGATCGCCGAGGGTCTTCCAGCTCTTGCCCTTCTTTATGACTAGACTGTCCACCGGATTCTCGCGTTCCAAGATTGCGCCAATGATGCAACCCTCTGGAAGGGTGGTCGGAACGTCCTTCAAGCTGTGGACCAGCATGTCGACATGACGTTCCTTCAACGCGACTTCGAGTTCTTTCGTCCAGAGGGCCTTTCCTCCTAGGAGATACAGCGCTTGGGACTGGTTCTTATCGCCAGCCGTCGCCATAAAGGATGTAGTGAAGGTCGGGGAGGATTCATTGGATGGGGGAAACGTTTCTTGCAACGATTTGAGAACCATGTTCGTCTGGATTTGAGCGAGCTGGGAGGCTCTTGAGGCGAGAGTGAATTGTCGTGGCATGGTAAAGGAAGAGTTTGAGTTGCTCTTTCGTTGGGCGCTCTTTTGTGCGACGGAATTCAATCGTGGTCCTCCGGCATCTCTCGGCCCGTTCAGAACCAACATTCTCCCGGAAGGTGAAGCGGCAACGAATGCGAATTTCCACGATGAAGGGAATCTAGATAACGACTTTGTACAGCTTTTTGGAATAACTACAAATGACAGACCAATAGTGCTGCAAGGGTACTATAAGACAGACAACCGAGTGGAAGTTGGTAGAATGAGGGATAACCGTTACAAATGTGTATGGGCAATAATAAAAAGTATTGGTCACAGGAAAGCAGGAAAACAAATGATCGGGAAAATATGCCGTTTTGCAAAATACAATGCAGTGTGTGGTATGAGTAGGTCAGGAGTGGGAGGGCATGTTAGACGAGCATGTGAACAGCGATTGAAAACGTATGTAGTAGGATAGATTTTGGAAGTAGAAATGCACGATACGCGCCTGGAAATCGAACTGGATTAAAAATGATGATAGTGTTGATGACAGAGCGTTCGAGTTGTCCACCGAGAGAAGAGGGTTTTACATTCCGTACCCAAACGCGGAGCGCTGGTAAGGATCATTCAGCGAACCTCCGAGACTTCCAAAGGCTGGGAGGCTGGCAAACGACGCAGTCGGGAATGACCCTCCATGAGGTTGCGGCAACCCCTGCAACCCCTGGTTGTGACTAGAGTTGCTCTGCAGAACGTAGCCGTCGATGGACTGAGGTTGGAGAGAATGCATCTGAGTACTCAGGTGCGTCTGTCCGAACCCTCCCTGCCCTGGCATGGAGTACAATCCGTTCGAAGCGCCGTAGACTTCCGCCAAGGGATTGCCGGCAAGCCCTTGAGGCAAGTGGCGTCCGGCGCCCATCCCTTGGTTGCTGAGGGCCATGAGGGCCTGCTGGTTTGCGAAGCCGGGGCCAAAGTGATCCATTTGCTCACGTTGAAGCTTGTTCTGGATGCGCTTGCCGTACGGCGTGTTGCGAATGAGAGGTAGCACAGGACGAATACCCTCCACCAACAGCGCCCTCTGGGTAGGATCAGCGTAGTCCAACGCGGTCTTCACTGGTAATCAGTTAGTGAACAAGGAAAGATTGAAGCATGAACACACCTGGACGCAGTAATTGCCGTAGGAGTCCCGCAACAATTTTTCGAGACGCGAGCGGTTCAGGAGTTCCTCGATGAGCAACTTCCGAGTATTGTGCTCTGCCACACGAATGCACTACGAGAATGTCAGACAAGGCGCCACGTGCGGGTAAAATGTGCTTACCTTCTCGATGACGTTGGAGCTGAACTTCTGCACAGACAAGGCACATACGTTCCCTGAGAATTGACGGATGACAGCATCACTGAAACGGTTATCGTTGAGGTCAAGGATGTATTGCACGACCTTAGAACCCGCATGAGTAAACGAATATTGATCAAAGAGAGCATATCAGCTTACATAGTTGCCGTAAGGATCCTGGACAAGGGTGAGCGCGTTATACGTGATCTCATTCACAAGCTGCACGCGCTGCATCTCTGATGCGTGATCAATGCAGCGTTGCAACACGCAGCATCCATGACGATGAGTGGCCACTTCGACACAATTCGCCGCGACGGCATTGTAGATGAACTGCGCGGTGGTCGATCAGAGCGGAGTTTTTAACAGAAATTGGTCCCACGTACTTGATTATCCTCCGGCGCCAGCTTGTTCAAGCATTTCTGAATTACATGGTTACCGTTCAAATCTTTGATGAGGACCACGACGTGCAGGCTGAGAGCGCGAATAATGGAATGGATCTGAGCATTGTACCGATGATCAGCCTGCTGTTTGGCCGTAAGTTAGGACAAAATAAGAATCGGGTCGAATATACTTGCCTGTCGACGCGTGGACAAAAAGTCAATCATCTTCTGAACAGCTCGAGTTCCATGCATGTTCAAGGAAATGTTAACAAGATCCTGCGCAACGGACTCGCAGATGACATTTCGTTGCTCATCAGTCGAAAATTCCAACAATTTCTGGCACAAGTAGTTTCCGAAGGGATCTGAAGTTGCGTCAGCTTTAAATCAGTTGTGTAAGAAACCACACTGACCTGTCATGAGGTCCGCAAAATGACCGAACGTTTCACGGAAGATCATGTTACGATGTTCGGGGACACCTTCCTCGAGCTTCTTCTGCAGATATCGACAACCATGTTGGTCCTTGCACAGGGCTGGAATCTCGCCTTGTAGGTCTTCAAGACGAGTGCCTGCGAAGCGATTGACTAACGAAGTCACGATTAGCTCCCAGCCTCGCGTGATAGGAATCAAGCACAAACATTCCCGGTCCATATCACCACGCTTGTGCTTGGGTCCATGAAGTCCGTTCATCTTGCTATCAGTGCTGGCACGACTTGACAAGCCGAGTCCGTATCGAGTACCGCTCTGCGAAGGATACAAGCCTCCAGGAGTGGAAGCGCCGAGTGCAGCCGCACGAGTCGTAGACTCAAAGCCGTAAGTGTTGAAACGTGCACTCTCTGCCCCGTTGCCAATACCGTAGATTGAATCGTACTAAATGGGCAAGAGATAGGTTAACCATCAAGGGTCGGAGGGTTCAATGAAAATTGACGTACATCATCACGCGCTCCAGACTGGACAGAATTGTAAGTCAGTGAGCCGTTGTCGTAAGGACCGGACGGGATGCGAGAGAGCGAGGCTTGAAGGTCGTTGGCGCTGACAGAACCGTCGGAGATGAGATTCGGGGTAGCAATACGACCGTTGAGGGTTTGAAGATCCGGGGTATGAGGTGTACCAGGAGTCTTGAGCAGATGGGAAGCAGTTGTTGGCATCCCCAGAGGTGTCGCAGGCACCGAGCGCGTCGCGCTACCAAGGGCATCGAGAAGGCTGTGAGGCGACCCTCGTCGAGAAGTAGGAGCTGGTCCTTGAGGGAGTAGAGGGGTCCCTGACGCCGAGCCAGCGCCAACAAGAATCTTGCTGGCGATGTCATCGTGGGGGCCAGATAGAGTTAAGTTGGGGTTGGTCACTGTACGACGCTCTGTCCTCGCGCCTGCGCCTTCTGGACCACGGGGGTTGCTTGCGAACTGGGGCCATTCCGATGACTTCTCTCGAGTGTCCAAGATCCTATTGGCGAAATGCGTCCGGGGAGAGGTCTGGGGAATATGGGCTAAATCCAAAGCAGCAGAAGCCGTCGATATCTACTTCCAGTTAAGAACAAACGATCAGACCAAAAAGGCTCATATTATTCACCTTGTTCGGGAAAGAGTTGTGATACTTGTCGTCGTCCGAAGTAGGAAGATTTCTCATAGCATCTTGTTGGAAAAATTCAATACGACGATTCAGTCATAGAATGATACAATTGACTCACTGTGCATCTCCTGATCCAACTGCTCATCCAACATCATCCCAGCGTTATACGTGCTCGCATACCGTGCTCCCTCATCACCTCCATAACGTCCATTCCCTCTGAGTAAAATTGATGCCGAAACAGGAGCTGGGACCGGAGAGGCACGGTTCGATCGATCGCCGGTCATAGACAATCCTTGAATATGGATAGCGAGCTCATCGTCGTGGCTACTAGCAGAAGTGCGCCTGCTCGCAGGCATACTCTTAGCCCCGGCGGGGCGGGCAAAGCTGTGCCCGTTGGCGGAAGGGCCAGTGGCTAAATCAGGGGATAGGTTAACGGATGGAGCGTATGTCACAGATTTCCGTTTGTCCGCTGCACTTCCTACGGCCTTCGAGAGAGACTCCAAGTCGGCTGATGGATGGGCTTGGCGGCCGTTGTTGAGAGCCCCCTCACTGAGCTGGGCGTCTAGGCGAGGAGGAGTGGTCGGAGCGGAAACAGCCAGGTGCTGAATGCCGCCATTGGCATTAGGATCGTAAGGAATGCTGAGCAACTCCTGAGCTTGTTGCTGCTCTAGGGCCCGCATTTGATCCTCGAAGTGCTTGCGTTGAATCAACCGTTGCCTCTGATGCTCCATACGTTTCAACTCGACACGCTGGCAAGAGACAGGGGCGGTTAGTGGGCGAGGGTTAGAAGATTCTTGCCACTCACTGCAGACATGTCGGGCAGATTACTTCCTAGCCTTGCGGCCTTCAAGTCCTGATGAGTCGAGGTCCACTGCGAGGACGAAAGAGGAAACTCACGGAGTCAGCAAGGTCCAAGAAGGCCGGTGGACTATTCTTCCTGTCGTCGGAGGAAGGGTGATTAATAGTAGGGGAGATAGTATTTTCCGTAGTGTTCATTTTCGCAACAGAGATGCTTGTAACTTTTGAGAGCAGTGAAGGACAGAAAAAGCGAAGGGTATTGGTGAGGTATTATAAAACGACGAGAGGAAGTAGTTGAACAATGGGACTCCTAGTGTTGAAATACGAACCAGTGAGCAGAAATAGGCGATGCCACCAACAGCGAACTGACCTGTGAAGCAGTCGAGGCCCGTCGTAAAGACTGATGTTACAATGCGCCAGAGTCTGAGCTGGAGGAGCAATGAGGACAAGACGAAGGAGACGACGGGAGCACGGACTCTGTTGGTGGCGAATTTTGGACAGAGGACGGTTTCGAAGGACGTAGTGGTCGAATAAGTATGGTCGCTGGGCAGCTACGTTTTGGTCCCTGAACTCAAAAGGCCGGCAATTCCCTTGGAATTTTTCAACTCCGGTCTAGCGATTTCGCGTAAACCAAGGGCGAGAACATCCAATTTCCTCCTCCCAGGCGCTTCTCCACTGATCCACAATCTACACTCTATACGTGATTCCAACTTGCAATCATGATCTTTTGACCCAGCACCGCACCTGAGGCCCCTATCTTTACGGACAGTTCACTCCCCCCGACACTTCCTTGCTTTTTGCACAACCGAGGCACCAGCATTTCGCCAAAAAATCCTTGTCAAGACACCACTCTTGCTAAACGCTGCTAGAGGAAATTCTCTACCTTCGCATCAGAGCCGATCAGACTTCGTCTCGTCCCTGTATCCAGGCGTTGCGCAACCAAATATTTTATCCTGGATTGATGCCCACATGCCTCTTCTGTATTGGTGGACGCTAGCCTCCCTGTTCAACATCACATCAATGAAAATGTTCCCTGTACGTAACAGCCGGGAAAGAGGTATCATTAGGGTAAATAATATACCTCATAAGTAAAGGGATGGTACACTATTCTAACTCTACACCAGTGAAGCGGGCAAAAATCCGTCAACTCTGCACCCCTTCCTCGCTCGCTTGAACATCGGCCACACCGTCGAGCCTGTCGGGGCCA